CTGGAATGCTCTCCCTCCTCTGCTCTAACTACCAACCTGCCTGGCTTCCTTTTAGTCCCAACTAAAATTCTACCTCCTACAGGAAGCGTTCCCATCTCCTAATTCTAGGGCCTTCCCTCTGTTAATTATTTCCTATTTATCCTGGATATAGCTAGCTTTGTATATATTTGTTTGTATGTTTTTTCCTCCGCTAGACTGTAAGCATCTTGAGGGCAGAGACTGTTTTTTTTTTTGCCTCTTTTTTGTATCCCTGGCTCTTATCATAGTGCTTGGGCACATAGTAGGTGCTTAATAAATATTTATTGATTGAGTGACTGCTGTCTCTTCCATTAGAGTGCAAGTTCCAGGAGGGCAGGGGAAGATTTTGCTTTTTCTTTGTGTTCCTATCTGTGAGCACCTACAGGGCCTGGTACCTGATGTGTATAAAATATGTGCTGGGTGATGGTACCACTTCAATCAGACTTATGCAGAGAATGGAAGGGAGGAATTTCTTTGGTCTCCAAAGTAAAGTTTAAAAGTGAAGCAGAATAGAAAGCTTCTATCTAATACAAAACAGTGATTTATTATATAAGATTTATTATATAAGATATTCTGAAGATTAACAAGTCCCATCTTTTAAGTGATCTAACTTCTCAGCATCCCCAGACAGCTCTCTAAGGATGGAAGCTCCAGACGAGTTGATGATTTGCATCCAACATGTATAGTGAGCGTTTCCATGTGAAGAGTCCCTAATGCTAAAGAAATCATGGGTCTGGACCAAAACTGGTCTGTCTGTTAAGAACACACCCACAGCAGCAGTATCATGTTTTCATTCAAACAATAATACCCTGATTGAGGTGGGGAGAAATGAAGTTGGTTAAGATGATTACCATAACACTGGGGGAGGCTGTTGGTTAAGATGGTGATTATAACATTTTAAGGACTGGTTAAGATGGTTATTACAACTTTAAGGGGAATTGGGTTGGTTAAGATGGTTACTATAAACATCTGGGAGTTTGGTTAAGAGGGCTATCATAACACTAGGGGATATTGATTAAGATGGTTATAATATTTGAGGGAATGGTTAAGATGATTACTACAACTTTGGGGGCGATGGGGTTGGTTAAGATAGTTATTATAACATTGTGGGGATGTTGTTAAGAAAGTGATTATAACATTGGGGAGATCTGGTTAAGATGGTTACCATAACATTGGGGGTGGGTGTCGTTAAGATGGTGATTATAACCTTGGAGGGTACTAGTTAAGATGGAGATTATGACCTTGGAGGGCACTGGCTAAGATGGTGATTATGACCTTAGGGGATACTGGTTAAGATGGTGATTATATCCTTAAGGGGTTGGGTTAAGATGGTTAATACATTGTATAGTATTTTAGGGGGAAGGATTGTTGTGGCTGTTGATTTTACTTGGAGGAGGGGGGTGGGAAGTGAAACTGCAGATTTTTTTTTACAGAAAATTACAGAAAATAACTAGGTGCTCTGATAACTTATTTATTAATAAATATTATTTATTAATAATAAATAGCTAGACTTCAAGGCCCTTTGGAGGGATACATAGGAAAGGTCAATCTGCCTCCTCTTAAAGCTTGGTCTGGGCTTATCACATAATTGTGAATTTCTCTAAGGATCTTCAGTCTGTGCTCGGGCTACTTTATTCATGTGAAGTTTCATTCATTCAACATTAGTTAAGGTTGATACGCTTCCCCGGGGAGTAAGTGGGCAGAATAAGACCTTTAAAAATTAAATTCTATAAAAATGTTTTTTTTCTCTCCACATTAGAAGTGGGGGGGTCTATTAATTCCCCCTTGACTTATAAGCCAACACTTAAAAAAACCCAACTTGACAGCAGACTATACATTCACTATTTATACAAGCTCATGGTTAAAGGATTAATTTATTTTACAAGAATGCTTAGACATAAGGTCATAGATTTTTAGTTAAGCTGATCCAAGGGGCAAAACTCCCGGGTCTCTCTTTTTTCTTTTCCTTCTTCTTGTTTATGTTCCAGACTTCTGATTTCATTAGCAAAGGAAATTATGCTATGGAAACTCCCTCTAACCAAAGCAGCCTTGTCATTTGTCTGTACCTTTATAGTCTTAGAAAGTAGCCTGGGGCAGTCAGAGGGTAAGGGACTTGTCCAGTGTCACTGCAGCACTTGAACCCAGACCCTCCCTGCTCCAATACCAACACTATCCATTGCGCCACTCTACCTCTCAGGTCTCTAGTTAAAACATTACATTTTCAATACCTAAAATTAGGTATTGAATAACTAAACTATAGCTAAATTTATTTAGCTAACACCTAAAATTATTAAAATAATCACCTCCTTAAACACATGAAGCTAGCTCCATTTCACATATTTTGTTCTGAACTAGTGTAGATGTACTTTTGCTAAAGCTACAGAAGGGCTTGACTCAAGCTTCTTCCATGAAAAGTCTTCTGGGCCTGTATTCTTGGGGTACATTGACCACCTTCTTCCAGGCTGCTCTCTTATCTCACATTTGACTTATCTGCATACATGGTGTATCCTCCTAGTAGAATGTAATCTCCTTGAGGGCAGAGGATATTTGGTTTCTGCCGTGGATCCCCCAGCTTTGAGCACAGTGCCTTGCACATAGCATGTGATATAATGAATCAAACTGTGAATATGTACAACACATATGTACAGAGGTAAAAATCTCTGAAATCTTAACTTCAGCAAATGTTCTTACTAAAAAGCCAGGAACCTAGCTACTTGTCTTTTCACATGCCCTCTGAATTCTGCTAAATTTGAAAAATATACATGGACTTTGGGAGAAGATTTACTTTATGCAAATAATTAACATCCTAAATTTGAAGAATGTACAAGGACTTTGGAAGAAGGTGAGGGAGGGAAAGAGAGACAGAGAGAGAGACAGACAGACAGACAGAAAGAGCCAGACATAGAGAGAAAGGGGGAGAAAGAGACAGAGAGAGAGAGAGAGAGGCATAAGAGAAATGGGCCTGGAACCTATTCCATGGTCTGTCACATAACCCTGATCAGCTCCACCTCCTGAGATGTGATGCAATGGTTGTCCATATTGGAAACTGGGAGGTGTCAGCTATAAACTATAGTTCTGGATTCCTCTGATACTACTTTGTCTCTAAGTGGTGTGATTTTCAGGTAGTATGACAAAGGATAGAATTTCCAGTCCCTCAAGAGTGATATTTTGGCCACAGCTTAAATCAGTTGACCAACTGCCTTTGAGGAGGCTGACCTTGATTCCAGATTTGCTACTGGCTACATTATACTGTTAAATCCCATATAAAAAGTAAATTTTAAAGAAATTTATGTGCTATGATTCATATGTAGATATTTTTCACGTAGCTGCAAATAGTCAGATGGAATCAACTATATTTTTAAAGAGTTATATTAGCAAGAGAGTTGTCAAGTTACTTTTAATTTACAAGTAGAAAGAAAGAAAGCATGTAATGGTATAACTTTGTTATATCATTTGTTTATCTCCAGTAAAAGCTAAACTGGGATTTTGATTGGCCCTCTCATTGCACATGTATAATCTATACCTTGGTCCGATCTTGAAAAAACTAGAAACCTATCAGTATTGGTGAATATTCTGTATGCTGAAACTACAGACCTTCCTCCTGTGTGACCTGAGGACAACAGTCAGGAATGAGTTAAAGATAAACATTGTATGTGGAGGGTGTGTACACGTGCGCTTAAAAATGGGATTTTTCTCTTCGTAGTCAAGTTTTTCCTGTTTTACCTCTTCTCCTTTCCTTAAAAGGTCCTCTCCTCAACACTGTAATAATTGAGCTCCTTCCTCTCAATGATTCTATTTTCTTTCTAATCTTTTTTCATTAGAATTTAATGAAAACTTTCCCCTTGTTCACAGAAGCAGAGCCAGACCCCAGTGTCACGCAGTAGACGTACAGCTGAAAAGCTGCCTGAGTCACAAAGTTTAAGTCACACGATATACTACAGATGTATGAAGATATCATGCTACTCAAACAGGCCCTGGTGAATCCTTTTGCAAAGCTCTGAATGCTTTAGGAACATGACTTATTGTCTGTTTTACTTGTTTCCTGAGTTTGGATTCTTCTACGTGAAGGCTTCTTATAGCAACACAGAACTGTATATATTAATATCAATTTTCTATTGTTTATTTCCTGATCCAGCCCAACAAACAATTCTATTATTTATTTCCCAAATCCAATTTATTTACAGTACAGTAGAACTGTCCTTATCTATGCCTCCTCTTGAGTATGTAAATTTTAAAACTCATTCTATATTTGTTTCCTGTACATTTTTTTTAAAGGGAAAAGACTATTTTTATCCTAAACTTTGTAAATTCCACAAAACCTAATATAGTTTCATGTTTTCTGTAGGCACAGAAGAGTAAGGATGTTGATGGGATATTTACTGTACTGAAAGTTCAGTAGAAGGCACTGGACAGTGATTCAAGTGGAGATACCAGATTTGACCCTGACCTCAAGGAGGTCACTTTAGCTAAGGAGGTGAACAAATACACCTGAAATCGCTTGAGAATAATTACAAAGCAGCATTAGCTACAAATGTAAAAACAGTATTCTGTTGACAATTCACAAGGGCTGAAGGGGTAGAGAACAAGTAAGGGAATAGAATGGAGCGAGGATCAATCAGGGAAGGCTACAGAGATGCCTCTTATTCTGAATCTTGTGAATGAGAAGAGAATATTATCCACTTTTAAAGCAATCTACATATATCTGCATATGCTAATAAGCCTAAAATATTCAGAATTTCTCTTTTACTGAAGCTACCAGTTAACACAGACTGGTGGAATGAATGTATCCACATACTAGGATTTCTGCATTATGGATAAAGAAGGACATATGTGCACAAGTCCGTGCATGTATGTGCATGGAGAAACACACGTGCAAAGTGCATGTTGTATACACACACACACACATACACACACACACCATATCACTAGCTACTGGGGGGGACTGAAATGCACAACGCTCTGTGTGCTAGATTTGGACAAACCTGTTGGAAAGGTCTTGTTTGGGCTTGCTGTCTGAGGAGCCGCTGCTGCTGCTGCTGCTGCTGCTGCTGCTGCTGCTGCATGAGTTTCATCTGGATCAGCTGTTGCTGGGACGTGATCGCATGGATGGAGGGAGGTTGCATCATGGTACCCGAACGTCTCTGCAGCATGTTGGAAAGGGCTTGCTTTGTGTTGGTGGGGACAAAGGAACCCGTGGGATCCAGTCGGGAGCCACCTAGAAGGAATTACACATGTAGAGAACTTTCTCAAGATGCTGCGTACCAGGGCAATGTGCGGTAAAGAACCCTGAGCCTCTAGAACTATACTGACTTATTTTGTTAAGCTTAGAGTCAGGAAAGAATTTGGAAACCAACGAGGCAAAGTAACATTTAAATAAATGTTTATGGGTTTGAGTTATTTTATTATAGCAAAGGAAAAGAGCTCATTTTGCAGAAATGAGAGCAGGGGGGCAGTAGGATAAAGCAACCCAGATTAGACTCTGTGGTTCTAGGACTGATTAGGGGTTTTTGAGAATTCAAATACCACAGTTCACTGCACTTCTATTTTTTTTTTTTTTTTTGGTGAGGCAATTGGGGTTAGATGACTTGCTCAGGGTCACACAGCTAAGTAAGTGTCAAGTGTCTGATGCTGTACTTGAACTCAGGTCCTCCTGATTCCAGGGCCTGTGCTCTATCCCCTGTGCCACCTAGCTGTCCCTGATTCTAACTTTTTAAAGACTAAAAGGAAAGGCAGTTTGAATAGCAAATAGACAGAATGGCCATTTTATCAAGAAGACATAGGCAGGAAGTCTTGCCTCTAAAACATAACTGGCTGTATAACCCTACACAAGTCACATAAGCTCCCAATGGCCCTGGTAAATCTGTCATGCTCTTCTGCATCATGGGCCAGGCCCCTCAAGCTGAGGGTGAAGGAATGAGTGCTTGGATGGACACAGCCCTGTCTGTGCCATTTCCTGATGGTATGGCCATTCTCGGTTTTATCCTTTCTCTCCCTTTAGCTCATAGTTTAGAATATATTCTGCTATTAAGGAAACACTCCCCTTATACTTTCTCCACTCTAGAGCCCAAACTAGAGATTTCCCTCCTGTAATTCCAAAACATGCATTTACAAATTTACTTAGAGATACAGTCCTACTCTCAAGTAACTACTAGGCTCAAAAGTTTCCCTCCCTGAGATTTAAAACAATGATTGTGGCCTCACATCCAACAGTATGACATGACCATTTTGAAAATCTTATTTGACCTTGGGTGGCATTAATACAGGCAGAAGGGATAGGGACTGCACCTGTGATTTTAATTGTAAAGGGGACTCTTGCCAAGATTTCTTTTTATCATTTTTTTGCAACTCAGAATCTTAGAGAGTTGTCTCAGAGATTCAATAGAGTCACATAGCCAGGATGTATCAGTAGCAGGACTTGAATTCAGGCCTTTCTGGCTTCAAGGCCAGGTGGATAGAGATCCACTATGCCACCATGCCCCGAGAAGATAGAATGCCTCAGAAGTTCATCTGTACTCTGCCCGAGTCAGATTACGTTTTTAGCAATGTGTTCAATTCTAGGTACCACATTTGAGGAAGGATATGACAGGCCACATCATGTCCAGAAGAAGAAAAGCAGGACTACAGATGATGCTATACAAGAATTGAAGGATATTTTAGTCTGGAGATGGGCCTGAGGGGAAGAGGGGAGTGAAGGGTGGGAGGTGGGAGAGGCAATCAGTAAACATTTATTAAGCACACACTATGTGCTGGGAATTATGCTAGGCTTTGGGGATACCCAAAAAAAAAAAAAGGCAAAAGACAGTCAGTCCCTGCCCACAAAAAGGTCACAATACAAGGAATAAATGTCATGGACAAATTGAAAGGCCACACCTAACAGTCTGGCCTCAGAGGGCAGAACCAGGAGTCACAGAGGAAACTGCAGAAAAACAGATTTTGGCTAAATGTAAGAAAATTTAAAAAAAAGCTTTATAACAACATGAGCTGTCTAAAAACCAGAATGGCCTCCCTTAGGGGAAGAATTTTCTCTCGTGGAAGTTGTTCTGGCAGAGTTTGGGGTGGTCACGTAATAAAGATGTTTTTGAGAGGATTTTTGTTCGTGTATAAGTTGGGCTAGCTGATAAGGTGCCTTATTTGGAATTTATTCCAGGCCCTAGGTTTGAAACCCAGCTCTGCAACTTACTACCTAGGGTAAGCGACATTAAAAAAAAAAAACTGTGCCTCAGTTTCTTTTTCAGTCAAATTGAGGATGTGGTCTCTTAAGGTTCCTCCCAGCTATAAATCTATGATCTTATGATCTCAGGGGTCCTTTCCATTCTAAAATTCTATGATTCCATGACAATATAACCCTTAAAAAACAGCAAATAATCCCTGGTCTTTATGGTAACTTTTAAATACAGGGCACTCACCTTTAATACCCTAAATCTAATGAGTCTAGCACAGAGCTGGACCCTAATGATCTTCATTAATGAATCTGTGCATAGAAAGTAAAAGCTTTGGCTATAGCTTCACACAATGGGCATAATTAACAGACAATTATTTTATGGTTAAAAAAAAAAAGAGGAACTCTACCATCAACCTAACCTCTACTGTGTATTTTAGGTTGATTTATGCAATCCTGCTTCTTGCTGGTGAGTCAGGGAAACGGATTAATCATAGAACATCAGGCTTAGCAACATTTCAAAGATTTTCACAAAAAAAGTTCTGGCACGCCCCAAAACCAGAAGTGGTCAATGTGTTAAAAAGAGAACTCAGCACTTCTTGGCTCCTATTTTTAAAACAAACCTCTCACAACCCTGAAAAAGAACGTCTGAGCCTAATAAAATCAAAATTGCTTAATAGCACATGGTGAGTCGTTGCTTCAGAAAACACCTTCCACATTCTGAAGCTTATCCATTTTATGAAGGAGAATGGCAGTCTCGCCCACAAAAATTTTTTGATGTGTATTTAAATAGAAGTTAATTGCTATTCTTTGATCAGAAATATTTTCTTCTTATAGAAAAGAAATAAAATTCTCTTGGGGTTTAATAATAAAGATAACAATGAATCAGTGAAATGTCTAACTATGACAGTAGCCATAACCAATGACTAATCCCAACAGACTATCAAGAATATATGAAGAATAAATTGTACAGACAAAAACAAAAATTAAGCCTTTATTTTAAAGGATGTGGTATACAAAAGGGTGTCTGACATAACACTATTATTATCTAATCTGCCCAAACTATTTAAACATTGACCAACATGGAGCAGTCTGGTGGCACAGTGGATAGAGCACTGGCCCTGGAGTCTGGAGGACCTGAGTTCAAATCTGGCCTCAGACACATGATACTAACTGTGTGACCCTGGGCAAGTCACTTAATCCCGACTGCTTCACCAAAGGAAAAGAAAAAAAATTAATCAACACAAAATCAAGTAAGTTTAAGTAAAATAACTGGCTTTCATTCATGTAAATATTCATTGAGCACTTATTTTTATCCCTTAAGTGTACAAAATACTGCACTAGTCAATATGAAAGATAGGGAAATAAAATATAAGCTCCTCCTGAAGGTATCTTACTATGCTTTGTTCTAAAGATGATATGAAGAGACCAGACAACTTTCTCTTTCATTTATAATCAGCTCTCATTACTTAAGATGGTTCTATAAATAAACAGCTTTCTTTCAAGACCAATATTAATATATACACATACAGATATGGCTTTTATTTTAAATAAAATCAAGAGAGATCCTGGGAGAAATTCTGGTGTTCTAAGCAACAATATCAATAAAATTCTATTTTATTTTATTTTTTAAAAAAGAACTCTGTGTGAAGGGAATATCACAGCTTTGTATAACCAAGTATTCAACTCCTTAGTCCCTGGAGTAATTACGCAGAATTTCACTGATTTATATGGCTGTTTCAGGACTATTAAAAAAAGTCTTCTGGGGAATGGGGGGGGGGAACCAAACCTCACTGATGAGTGCCACGATCTTGCTACATCTTTCACTTACCTGGTGCAAGTGACTGATTCTGCAGGAAGAAGCCAGGCTGTTGCGGTTGTCCCATAATGTTATAACCCCACAATGCTGACTGAGGGTGGTGCATCATTTGGGAGGAAATTGGTGAATAATTGGGAGGCACTCGGTAAATGTTGTTCTGTGGATAGTCCTTCAACATACATGGTAAGAAGAAACGTTATTACAATCCACATACTACAGGAATAATGCAGATTCTTCCTACAAAGTTATTTGAGACATGTCCTCTTGTAGGCTGCAAAGCTATTTTTAAAGGCATAAGGAGGAGAGAGAATGCCTGTTAGCACGCTCTCTGCAAATCTCTCCCCCCATTTCAAAAGTCGGCTGAGGGGAAAGATTTTAGTTAAAATACACTGTGTTGTGTTCTGCTTTTATGATATCAAATGACTGATAATGAACACAAGACAGAGTTAAAACAGTGTACTCAATTACTAACCCTAGCACTGAGACCAATTCCAAAGGGACCTAAAACTCATCTCAAATTTTCTGGGCAAACAAAGCAGGGCCTGACTCAAGCCATCCCGGATGTGGAGCAATGTGGAAGCAGATAAGTGTTGGAAGAGTTAAAATTAAAACTACAAGAGAAGCGAAGGCCAAAAAGAATGTTTTGGTGCCCTCCACTTTCAAGGGTGGCAATAGAGAATCCTTATTAATTTTTTTTTGCAAGAATTAGAAGTTTGATGACATTCAGAAAAAATATTTGTACAAGAAAGAACGTTTAGGTTTTGAGAATAAGAAGTAACCAATGGCTGTGATCAGTCAACGCCATTTTGTTGTTTGGTTGTTTTTCAGTCGTGTTTGACTATTTGTGACCCCATTTGGAGTTCTCTTGGCAAAGTTACTGGAATTGTTTGCCATTTCCTTTTCTAGCTCATTTTGCAGATATGGAAACTGAGGCAAACAGGGTGAAGTGACTTACCCAGGGTCACACGGCTAGTAGGTGTTTGAGGCCAGATATGATCTCATGAAAATGAGTCTTCTTGCTTGTGCCCACATTGGCAGTAACTGGTGTATCTGGGGTGAGAATCCAGGTTCTCTATCTCCAAATCTAGCACTCTATTTTGCAATATGCCAAAGAGTCAACCAATGGGTCCTCCTTTTGATTGGTGTTACTCAAATTATGTGTCCGGGGACTGGGACCAATGCCCACCAATGAACCAACCATACCATAACAAGCTTAGATGTTTAGGGCAACGTGCTCTAACCACCACATTCAGGAATCTGTGCAATAATTCCTGGGAGGTTTGAGTGGGCTCTCTTATACTCACATCAACTCTTGAAGTCGACTTCGTCTTTCGCTTCCTTCCTTTTGTTTTCTTCTCCTCATCGGCTGCAGTTTTTCCCTGATCTGACAGCTCAGTGGATTTTCTTTCTGGTTCCTGAGAGACGGGGGTGGTTGGCTCTTCCTCTTCCTCCTCGGGAGGCAGAGGGAGAGGCTCGAGGTAGTAGCTTCGGGGTTTGGGGGTAGGGTGGGTGTGGTAGAGGAGAAGATGATGCTGTTCCTCGTACTTGATCACCTTTCTGTCCACTCGAACGGTCCCAAACCAGGCCCAAGAGAGTGGAGCTGGATTTTTGTGACCCTCAAATAAGTCCCACGGGGATACCTTCTGTTTTGTGGACACCTGGAGACCCTATTCGCAAAAGAATGGTCTATGAAGCCACCGATGAAAACATGATAGCCAAACCATAATATAATAATATATAGCCAAACTATAAATTAAAAGAAAAATATTTAAATAAAATAAATGTATTTAAATACATAATACATTTTAAATTAATTTTAAAAATTAAAAAAATTTTAAGGTAAATAGTCTTAGGGTATATTCCTTTCTTGTCTTTTTTAAGGCAATCAGGGTTAAGTGATGGGCCCAGGGCCACACAACTAGTAAGTGTCTGAGGCTGCATTTGAACTCAGGTCCCCCTGACTCCAGGGCCAGTGGTCTATACACTATGGCACCCCCAACTGCCCCTTACTTAGATGATCCAGGGGTGGATGATTCTTTTACAGAACAAATCCTTTTATTAACGGGATCTGTTCTGTGAAGTTTGGACTCTGTTAAAAGTCTGTACCCAAGGAACTAGAAAGCCACATGCAGCCTTGAAGCCACAAATTTCCCCACCCCTGAGTCACATTCTAATTACACTTTGAATTTATGCACATACTCAAGTTATACTAGTATGAAGCTATGTTACGACCCATCCTTGTGCTCCAAGTGTTCTGACTTTGTCATCTCCCTCACTAGAATATTATGGTTACTTCAAGTAGGTACTAGATCATTCTTTGTACTTGTATCCTAGTAGACAGGATGGCATAGAGACGGGGCTAAATAAATGCTTGGTGATTATCTTGTTCATTAGCTCTCTGTAGAGGTTATATATGTGAGTATATATACATATACACATATATAATACATGTAAATATATGTGTATATATAATATATATACATATATAATATAAATGACATTTTTACTTAATTTTTAGAAACAAAAAAAAACCCCTACCTTTTCCCCCTTATTTCACTGAAAGTACCTCCAACACTTCAATAAAAATGTTTCTCTGTCCAGTTACTAACAGAGGGAGGCTATTAAACACCTGTGGATTCATTTATTAGTTATTTCTGTCAGACACTTCAGTATCATAAGAACCAAATTCCTTTCATTTCCATTGAGGTTTCTATTAACTTCACTACAATTCCCTTTCAGAGCACAAACTCATTTCTGCCAGTCTTATAGAATGGTGTATGTTAAGTCTGAAGAGAAAAAACAAACATGAAATGAGTTTTTGCACTAGGTCTGTTGATATTTTCTTTGTTGAGAAGTCTGCAAAAGAATTCTAGTCTAAATTACACCAAAAATAATTTATTTATCATTTAGAACCACAGATCAGGGATGGGAGATGAAATCTAATGCCACCCTCTCATTTTGCTAAGAAGGAAACTGAGGCCCAGAGAGCTAAACTATTTTGCCCAGCATCACACAGATAGTTAAGTGGAAGAGTCAGAATTTGAACTCAGGTCCTGTGACGACAAATTCAATGTACCTTCTTCTGCTATCTCTCTCTGCCTTTCTGTATTTTACAGCATCTGTTTCAGTGCCTTGAACATTTGCTAATTTATCAATAATTAATAATGATCAATAATTATTAATTATAATACTACAATTGTATAGTAAACTAATTATCATTATTAACTAGAATTATCAATATATAATAGTAATTATATAATAATTAATGAACAACAAATGTTGGTAAACAGTATCTAATCCAACCCTTTCATCTTATAGACGAGGAAACCGAGGCCCAAAGAGTTAAGGTGCCTGGCCCAACATCACCCAGGTAGTAACTGAAAGAGTTAGGATTTGAAACCAGTTCTAGTGATTATAAATCTGCCTTTCTGTATTTTAGAGTACTTACTTCAGGGCTTTGAGCATGGCAGGCTCTCAAATGTTTGCTGATTTGATGATAATGAACAATTCTGCATGATTTCAATCAAAGTTTGACGACAAATCTTTACTATTGTCTTGGATAGAACTAGAGTTGTTTGTTAACTTTACACTTTTATTTATAGACTGCCCTATGAATTAGAGTGATTTAAACATGATACTTGGCTCTATTTTTATAGCATTATTTGACAGTCTTATAACAAATCTACAGATCGCTAAGTACTTTTCACACATTATTTCATTTTATCTTCACAAAGGACTTTCGCAAAGGCAGCACAGCATGGTAGAAAGCTGGTCTTACAGCCAGGAAGTTCAGTCACTGACATCTATGACCTGGGGCAAGTCATTTTAAAACCCTCAGTGTTCTAGACAGCTCTTTAAGACTTTCAGTTATAAATACGGAGCTTCCTCACCCGGGAATTCTTTATCCTAATGAAATCACAGGCCTAAATCCCTTGCCCTATCTCTAAAATCCCTATGAAAAAGGAAGGCAGATCAGGTATTATTTCCATTTTGCAGAAAGAAAAAACATGGGGCTTAAGTAAATGACATGCCTGTGAGCATTCAGGGTTGGTGACTGTCAGAGAAATGACTTTCAGAACCAGATCTTTTGCCTCCAAAACTTCGAGGCTTTCTTCCCTCCTTTATCTTCATCCTCACCATTCAGGAACAAACACACGTGGGCCAAATGTATGGCGTTTAGCCACTTCCCCATTACTGAGCGATTTAAAGATTAAAGAGTATCCAGAAACTGCCAAATCAGGTTACCCCAAGAGGGTGGTCTTCCACTGCCTAGTGAACTAGAAGACTTCATCAATTACTTGGGACACCCTGGTAGTTCTCATCCAAAAGCATATGACTTTAATAAGCCCAAGGCAAAGCTGGAAAAGAAAGATGGGGTATAGATAGTTAAAGAAAACATTTACTCTTGCCTGTTTCTTATCTATGGAGTCGAATCCTGCGATTTTATTGCCCTTTGTGTCTATCAAGGACCCCATAGGCTCACAAGTGATGACATCACAGGTCTGCTTGGGCAAAGGCAGCAGCTGGCGAACTTTGTCGATACTCTCTGATCGTTTGTCACCCAGCTCTTTCTAGAGGAAAAAGAGAAGTGGGAAGGAACATTACAGGGACAGCAGAAAAGAAATGAGGAAGCTCCATTATGCAATATTTCCTTTTCTTCTATATGGATGCTCTTCAGAACTTAATTTTATGCTGCATTACTATTTGTGTGTATGTGTTTGTGTGTTGTGTGTTTTAGCGGGAAGGGGAAGAGGGCACTGTTAGTTCTGTTTTGATTTTTTTTCATTTCTTCAATTCAAGGCAAAAAAAAAAAAAGCACATAAATAAAAGCAAGGCACCCTTGCCCAATAAACGACATAGGACTGACATGACCCAAGATACAGGGTGGCATGAGAAGTCAGAACACAGGAGCTGATCCCTGAAGGGCTCTCTCACATGCAAGGGCAGACCACAAGCTTCTCCTGTCATTTTGTTGGTAAGGTAGCTGACTGCTTTGATTTTTGGGGGTGGGGTGGGGTGGAGTGTTCTTTGGATATGGTTTTTACTGGAAGTGATATGTTTGTGGTTAATGAAAGAATACAGACATTAGAAGTTTCTAGCACTATGATAATTTCTTATCAGATGCCACAGGGGCACCATCTGTCTCAAGCTAATTTGGGCATTATGCCTGTTTATTTGTGTAGTTCTTCTTAAGGTACCTTCTGAAAAGATTCTCTCTGTGCTATAAAAAGAGAAATAATGTCAGAAGTAGAATCCTGAGAGTTTCTGGGAGCTATGCCTCAGAGCGATAGGCACAAAATTCAAAGCATGCATCATTTTAATCATTTTTCTTCAGCAAACAGGATATAATAACAATTGTGAATGAGAAACGTACTTTCAATTTCTTCACTAGATTCATGTAGGCTCTCTTGTTTTCTTCGGCTCCACCCTGGGAGGAGCTTGACAGGTCAGAGGCTAATGTTCCATTGATCAGGACACCCAGCATGTCAAGAACTGTGGTGAATAATTCACTAGGAGGGGGGTAAAGATTAAAAAAAAATAATAATAAGTTTCATTTCAGAAGAGTAATAAGGACACCCATAGGCTAGCCAAGCATTCTCAATTGCTTTCTTTCAATGCACAGATGTTTGAATGTACCCAGTAAAACAGGTTGCAGAATAAAAAGAATACACCACATCACACATGCAGGAAGAGAAATTGGAAATGATAAAAAAACATACTTGTTAGTCTGCATGTCAACAGTTCCTGAAGTAATTATCTGAAGGAGCAGAAGTGCCCAGTCAGTGGTCCACTGGGTACTTCTTTGCACAGTGTCAAACATTCCTCCTACCTAGCATGTAAAATACAATAGAAGGTTGCATTATAGATAACCAAGAGGGAACACCACCACTATTATTCTCGGCACCCCAGGGGGGATTAGTCAGGGTCTGATCACTGGCAGGCTGCCCTGGTCACTCTCCCCTCTTGCTCTCTCCCTGGCTTCCCTTTCCCCATTTGTTGGGGGAAAAGCAGTAAACTGTAAAAGTGTCAAGATTCTTCACATTTGGAAAATCTGGACTAAGTTATGGTAGAGGAAAAAATGGGAGGTCAGTTTGAACTAAAGAAAAGTCTGGTTTACAATTTTATAATCAGTATCTTGGGGCTTTTAGGTACATTGAAAGACCAGAGCTAAGCTAGTAAAGCATTTCAAAGTAGCCATCCTAATCATTTTACAACCAGAAACCAAATCCCTCTCCTTCTTGAGATTGCCTGGCATTCTCTTCATTTTACAGATGAGAAAAGTGAGACCCGAGGAGGTCTCATACCTAAGATAGTGGCAGACTAAAACTAGGTAGGACCCATGTGATGCGCTTTCCATGGTAATTGCAATGCTCTCTTCTTTGTCCTTCCTACCCTTTCTCTCAGGTCCTGCTAGATCAGGTTCAAGACTCCCAGGCTAGACAAAGTCTGAAATAAATACCTGCTGTGACCTCCTAGGGAAGGGAGCCAAGCCAAAAAAAACAAAACAAAACATAACAAAGTAACAATGAGAATTGATACAAAGAGATAATGGAATGAGCCACTTTGTATTACACAGTTTGCATGGAGGACCAGAAATGGAAGTTATTTTCATCTGGTTAATTTCTAATTTGATTCAGATAACGAAATAAGAAAGCTCCAAGTATTTCTCCTACCAAATTAAGACGTAGTTGTAACGCCTCGTGCATCATTTGCCTTGCTTTAACATCGTCCTGGTAACGTTCTTCTCTCCAGTTACTTAAAATCTAAGATGGAAAAATAAACGTTTTTCTGTTAGAATTGGATTTTTCTCTTGTATGGTACGAAAATGTTTCTTTCATTATCCTCCAAAGGCAAACTTCAGACCCTTTGGTGAACTGCATTTATTGGAGAACAGCAATTTTTTAAAAGCAACAATAAGCTTATTATCTGCTTTGATTTTACCTTAGTAATTTGCTTCTGTCTTCCTTAATGTAAGAATTTTGGTAATTTCACTGCTTCTCTGAGCCAGGAGCAGGGGCAGGTAGAGGAAGTGAAATTCAAATCAGTCACTTTCACTACCTCAACACTTCTGATAATAATGGGTTTTTGTGTTATTTTTTTTAAGGGCAGGGGAAGCAATATGAAGTAAAACAGAGGTCCCCAAAATGTGGTCCAGGGACTTCTATGAGTCCCCAAGATCCTTTCAGGAGGCCTGCAAAGTGAAAACTATTTTCACAATAATACTAAGATGTTTTAATTTCAAATAAAGTAAATGTTAATGGGAGTAGCTGGGTGGTGCAATGGCTAGAATACTGGGCTCGGGAGTCAGGAATACTCAACTTCGTGAGTTCAAATCTGGCCTCAGACACTAGCTGTGTGACCCGGGGCAAGTTCTTGGGGGTGGCAGTCCTAAACAAGGGACAAGCAGGACTAGCTTGTTTTCTAGGAAAAAGGCTTGCTGGGAGGTGGTGGACAGTCAGGGAGACCTGAGCTTAAGTCCTGTCTCTGACATATATGGCAGCGTGACAGTGGGTCAGTCACTAAATATCTCAGTGCCGTAGGCAGCTCTCTGAGGTGGTGACCTGCACTGGCCAAAGGAATTTCCTCACCCAGAAGGTCCTCTTACCAGCGAAATTAGAGGTCCAATCCCTAGTGTATGTTAGCCTATCCGGAGGCACAGCTGTATTATGTTGTTAATCAAGGATCCTATTCTTGAACCTTCTAAATACAGAAGAGAGTTAATGTCCGTGGCATTGCATGCATTTTTATGCATAGCAAGAGTTTCCATCTGGTATGTGTTCAGTCATTTTTGGTCATGTTGGACTCTTTATGGCCCCATTGGTGGTTTTCTTGGCAAAGATACTGGAGTGGTCTGCCATTTACTTCTCCAGCTCATTTTACAGATGAGGAGACTGAGGCAAACCAAGTTAAGTGACTTGCCCAGGGTCACACTGCTAGTAAGTGTTTGAGGCCAGATTTGAACTCAGGAAGATGAGTCTTCCTGACTTTAGTTCCAGCACTCTAACGACTAAACAGGTGTGTTCTCCTTGTATTAGACAAGTGAGGAGAGAGTGGATGTCAAAACCACAAATAGTTTATTCTTCCAGAATCTGGACAATGTTCAATATATAAAAAGCTCCTTGATAGGGAATCTAACAGAGAAAATGTGTTACAGCTGAGACAAGGGTATTTCCCAAACTCATCCAGGGACCAGATCATTACCCAAGTCTTTATCATACAAAGACTGTCTAAGCTGTAATTGCTGTAAGATGAGATGCAATCTAATTAACTGAAAAAGGACTGAGAAAAGGCCAATAGACTTGGCAAGTAAGAGACCACTGGTAATTTTAGAAAGAGTAGCTGCAGTTGAATGACGAGGTCAGAAGCCAGACTGAATAAGGTTTAAAATCAAGTGAGAGGAGAGGAAGGAGAGGGAGGGAGTATAGTATAGAAGAAATAAACAGCCCACATTCGAACATAATCACATGAAATGTCCCATAGGTCTAACCCTCTGCATTTATATCTGGAAATGAACTCAAGAGACGATGTAATCTAATCTCCTTATTTTAGAGAGAAGAAAGCAAGTGAGACTCAGTTTCAGATAGCAGTAGAATGTGGACTAAAACCAGTTGCCCCAAATCCCTGCCTAGTGCTTTCTCTAATATCCCACCCTTTCTGCTTCCATGATCACCAAGAAATCTTTGATAGTTGCATTGTTTCCCCTGATACCTTGATACCAGGAAAGGGGTGCTAGAAATATACATCCCTTTATTATAAATTCATAATTTCACATTTTAGCCCAAAAATTAGGATCTTGACTTTTGATTAGCCTGATTCAGCTCCTCTGAGCTGGTAAAATTGTGTTTCTAAACCTGCTATGTTTTCTTTCTTTCTTCTTTTTTTTTTTGGTTGGGCAATGGGGTTAAGTGACTTGCCCAGGGTCACATAGCTAGTAAGAGTCATGGGTCTGAGACCAGATTTGAACTCATGTCCTCCTGAATCCAGGGCCAGTGATCTATCCACTGTACCACCTAGCTGCCCCTAAACCTGCTAAGGTTTAGAACAGGTTTGTGGACCTAAGGTAACCCCAGCAAAGTAGAGGGGAAAAAAAAAAACAAGGGGCATTTTTAGGCCTCTATCATCTTCTTACAAATACATACGTCAGACTTTTCTTCCATTTATGGGGAGAAATGATGAGATGTGTTGTTTGGTTATTGAGATTATCTGCAATTAATATAATTAATCAATTGATTACCAATTTGATGAATCATTTTGATTATCGAGGTTCTCTGTAGATGGAATCAAGCTGAAATAAATCTGTATTTATGTGTCTGTTGTGTTATGGTTTGGGGTTGTGAGCTAGGCAGATCAGTGAGCAGAGTGTTTTAATTTTATTCATTCAAATTACAATGAACTAGTCAAATTTTAAAAGGGTTTTCCTAGCAATTACTACAATTCAACATAATAATAAAAATCATAACAGCTGTCTTTTATATGTGTTTTAATGTTTGCAAAATGCTTTACAAATATTATTTCATTTGATCCTTACAACCACATTGGGAGGTAAGAGCAGTTATTATCCACATTTTACAGATGAAGAAACTGAGACTGATAGAGGTTAAATGATTTGCCCAGGGTCACACAGCAGGAAGTGTCTGAGGCTGCATTTGAACTCAGGTCTTCCTGACTCCAGTTCCCATGCTCTACCTGCTGTAAGTTGTTTGTGATCCCATTTGGAGTTTCCTTGGCAAAGATACTGGAGAGCTTTGTCATGTCCTTCTCCAGTTCATTTTACACATGACGAGGGTTAAGTGATTTGCCCAGGGTCACATAGCTAAGTTGGAACTTAGGTCTTCCTGACTCCAAACCTAGCACTCCTAGCTGCCCCTGTATGATTTAGTTGCCTATAATTAATTTTCTTTGTAATTTTCTTTATTTTATTTCAAGCATTCAAAAACACTAATCTGAGAAAGGCTCCATAAACTTCCCCAGAACGCCGAAAAATTAAGAATCTCTGCTTTAGATAAAGATGGCTGGAGGGGAGGGGAGAGGGATGACTGTGCGTGCTGATGATTTTAAAATCCAAGGTTCAAAAGGAGAACCAGGAAATCGATGACTGTGAAATATAAGCCTGGCTGGCTCAGTAGCATACATCTCCGTTACCTGATTAACTTGGTTTTGCAGGGATGTTAGCAGTCCTTCCCGTTGTTCATCCTGTCCCTTAAGGCAGGTAAGTACCAATGACAGGAAAGGCTGCTGACTTAAGAGAGACATACTATAAAGGAAACAAAAGGAACAGATTAAGTTAGGAGAATGGATTATCACTTCCTGTCTCCATATAATTTCTTCCTTCTGGTTGTTTGCTTTCATTTGCTTTACTCTTAAAAAGAAAAGAGAAGAAGGAACTCAGATGGAATTTATATAAATCACATCTTTAGTAATAAAATTTTAGAAGCAGTACAATATTTTCAGAAGTTTAATATGTCCAGAGATGGCAGAGCATAAAAGACTCATTGGTTTCCTAATGGGGAGAAGGGTAGGGTAAGTGGGAAATTAGCATGTGACTTCAATAAACAGAATTGAAAAATCCACATTCAAAACATTATGGATGAATCCAGGGCTTTTCAGATTAAAACTGAGAGAATATCATATTTTAGGCACAGAAAGGACCTTGGAGAGCATTAATCCAGTAGTGACAAAATTTAAATTTAAGGGTCTAGTCTATTTGCAAAACTATGAAACTAACCAGTGTCTCTTCACAAGGATATTCTTCTGAAGGCCTGCATAACACATTACTAGTTCATTCTGCTCATTTCATTCCTAAAATAAGACCAAAGTTTAAACATCTGTGCAACATTTCATCTTGTCCAAAGGATGGTTCACACAGAGATCAAAGGATCATTGATTTAGAGCTGGGAGGGACTTTAGGAGCCACCACCTAGTGTGACTATCCCATTTTACAGATAAGGAAACTGTGATGCAGAGAGAGAAATACCTGGCCCAATATCACATATAGAAAATGGCAAGGCTGGGATTGAAACGCAGGCCCACCCCTTCCAAATGTGCTAGCCTGTATAATAGGAAGAGGCAGCATCACAGTGTAAAATTCTAAGTTTGGATTCAGAATACACAAGTCTAGGTCTCAACTATGGGCCAGTCATTGAACTGTTCTGGGCTGCAATTTCTTCATCTATAAATCTGTCATAATAATCTTCACACTACCTACCTCAGGTTTGTTGTGAGAAAACACTCTCTCCATAGAAAAACACACTAAAAACTCAAATTTGCACATAGATTTTACACCGCTGGAGGAATTCCATAATTGGCATTCAATGAATATTTGTTGCATTGAATTACAAACCAAGTTATATTCAATTACAATTGAATCACAAACTAAAAAAAAAATTCTTAGAGAGTCCATTGACACAAGCTTGGGGTAGGGTTGGGAGTACAGTTACACTAATGAGGGGGAAAATATCAACTGTCTTTTTTTCAGGCAAAATAATGTGAAAAACAGTATAGAAAATGTTGGCACAGTAGGGGCAGGGAGTGGTCATAAAATTTCTTCCAACTGTGAAATCAGCGTCTGGATTTTTTTTGGTGGTAATAATAACAACTCACATTTATATAGCACTTTCAGGTTTACCAAGTACTTTATTGACCTCAGCTCCTTGAAGTCGACAGTATATATAGATCTCATTTTACAGGAAAGCGACTTGTCCATGGATACACAGTAAATGTAGCAGCAGTTAAATGATATAACGGAGAGTGCTTCGATTAGAGCCAGGTGGACCTGGGTTCAAACCCTGCCACAGACACTAGCTGTGTGACAAAGGGCAAGTCACTTAAACTGGGCCTCAGTTTCCTCCACTGGAATAATAAGAGGGCTTTCAAAGGTTCTTTCCAGCTCCCAAATATATGACCCTATGGTCTTCTGTCTGCTTTTGGGTATTGGATGGAATTCTCTCTTGACTTTAGTATTAGGAATCTTCATTTCTCAGTCATAGTATCATTTTGCAAATCTAATTGCTTTAAATCATCTTATTTTGAAGAAAAAGAGGAACTGAGAACAATACTGGGAAGTATAAGGCTGAAGGCACTTTGAGCCATTGTGTAGTTGAACTATGATTCAACAGTTACAAGGATTCCTGATGATCCACTGGACTTTAGCAGCTCAGAATTTTCCATCGTTTTCTGTGCCTGCCCCTTGCATTGAGATGTTTGGCTCGGAGGAGCTGGGTCAGCACAGAAATATTCCAGTAAACCTTTTCCTTCCAATCACCCTCTGTTGGAGGCTAGGCTGCTTGCTGTCTGTGTGTCAAGGATTTGGAATTCTGATGGAAAGAAGCATTCTATGCAGTCTTACCTTTTTTGCTTTTGTCGATCTCTTTCCTTCTTTGAGGATGATCCCAAGTGCTGTCCTTTCTCCAGTTCTTCCCCAGCAGCTTTTAGCACCCTGCCCTGAACGGAAGTGGGCAGCTTTGCAATGAGGGGTGCCACCAGCCACACACCCCTGCGTTCAGAAGAACTAAAAACCATAAGAAAATTGTAAATCACCACATTCCAAAGGTCACCCTCCTTTCCTCTGCTACTCTCATAACGGACGCATAAAGCTAGAGCCCCAGTCAAGTTGCCTAAGCCACATCATGATATGAACAAAGAGCCTTCCTCTCTGTCTTTGTACATTCTGGGCAGTCCTTTGCACATAGTGGGTGCCCAATGTTTGTTGAATTAAATTGAATCTTGCCAAGCAAACATTCGAGTTCAACCTATCCACTCTGATGGAAAACAAATGTCAGAGATGACAGTAACTAGCTGGTAGAACCCACAAAATGTTTTAGAATATATGAGGAAAAAAATTTCTTTTGAATAAAAAAAGATTTGGGAGTATTTTGTTTTATCCCACACCTCCATGATTTTTTTCAGAAGCTGAGATTTTCAAATTTTCTTTCTTCAGCAGAATAAATTCTCTGCCCCAACAGTCAGCTAATTCAGTCAACTAGTCAGTTTAAAAGAGAGTACACATGCATATCTATTTAAAACCTGGATTTCATCAGATTGGGAAACTCCTTTCCTGGAAGCTCTCTCCATTAAAGCAGACTATAGTCCATGTGGGTCAGGGGTGGGAAACCTGTGGCCTTGAGGCACATATGGCCTTCTAGGTAGGTCCTCAAATGCAGCCCTTTGACTGAATCCAAACTTCACAGTATTCAGTCAAAGGCACACTTGAGGACCTAGAGGGCCACATGTGGCCACAGGTTCTCCACCCCTGACCTAGGTCTTGATTGATAGGCCCTAAAAAGACTGTGAGAGACTCACTGAGGTTAGGTGATTTCCTACTACGTCACAGTGCGGGTTAAATGTCTGATGTGAACTCAGGTCCTGTGGCCTCCACTGCTATCATCTCTTCCATTATGCTTTCATTTTATATTTTAATACAGATAATGAATTTTCAAAGAATTAGAATAGAATAAATGCACTGCCTTAAAAAACTACAAAATAAGATTTTTTTTTTCCCTTGAGTGATTCAGTCATTAAAATCTTATAATGTCCTGTGGGGCTATATAACTGCAAGCTATGGGAATACCAGTAGCATTTGGTATTCAGTCAAGGAGCCCAAGGGACTTAGTTAATATTGGTTTTTAAGCTGTGGATCCAAGGCACCAGAATTCCTATATTTTGAGTTCATATGTAAATCCCTAAAATATTATCTACCAGTTCGCCTAAGCAACCACTTGTTAGGTAAATATAATTAGCCACTTTATTTCCCAAGTCATTAATTCTTCTTCCAGTTCCTTTTCCTGCGGGACAAGGTGGTTTTCTCTTAGCTACAATTGATTTGATTACAACAATCAGATTTGTTACACATCGTAGAAAAAAAAGGCACGGAAAAATACCTTAGGAATGTCTTTTTACCATTCTGCCTTGTGTTACTTGTGTCGCCATTTCCAATAGCATTTGGGTTGAAGAGGCCTATACCAGAGTTAGAAGAGTTATTGTTTAAATCAGCGGATTGCTGAAACACCTCTATTGTCGTCTTTGCAATATTATCCAACAAGCAGTTCATTTCAGCCACAGACCCAGAACCCTACAGTAAAACATAAGTAAGCTAGCACACTCACGGCAGGTTTAACTGAATCCAAGACCAAACCCGAACACGTCGTACTTGACGGGAAATCATTAGAATGAAAATAAAGGTCAAAAAACAAAGCAATACTCACAGGCTCCTTCATGCATTGTTTGATCATTAATTGGAGTTCCAGCCAGGACTGTCTGAGAGTCCATTGGTCTAGATTCTGAGTAAAATTTATGGAATTAATATACATAATAAACATTTCACAAAGTAATACTACTGTTGCTGATTTTTGTTTTAAACAGGAGACTATCTAGATAGGATCGCTTTGTTTTACAAATAAGGAAACTGAGGCTCAGAGAGGTTAAGTGAGTGGTCTGTCACACAGAAAGAGGCAGAAGCAGGTTCTGAACCCTGATCCTATCACTCCAAAGCCCTGCTAAGTAATCATTTAGATCAAGGTATTCCCTTTTCCATGTATAATAGGTGTGTATCTACATCTTTCTATCTATCTATCTTAAAATATTCTAGAACCTGTCCTGTCTTTATTTTACTGACATTTTTAAACAACTTATCTGTTTTAAGTCAAATCATATCTCATCTAGTGAAAGTCTGATAACTATTAATAAGATATTAAAACACAGAAAACAAGACTACCCTTTTTAGGCAGGTGCCATTTGATACAAGAGTCCTTTTGAGGTCTATAGTAGCTTTAGGGACATAAGATTGCAGTCCTGACTGTGTATTTTTTATTTCTGATTAATGGGAGCTCTATTATCTCCAAATGGTGACGAGAAAGGGATAACTAAAAGGTGCTTTTCCCAGGTTTTGGAATAGTTTAGGTGGCTTTACTGTAAACACTTTGCCTTTGTGATTAATGCTTTGCTTAAGTGAATATTAAAATCAGTCAATCAGTCAACAAACACAGATTTAGAGGCTGACATACAAAGAGAGCCAAAATATAGTCCCTGCCCTCAAGGAGCTCACATTCTAGTGAAGGGGATTATTAAAGTTTGTTTTGTTTATGCACCAAATGACAGATGTAGAGAGGTGGGATTGCTCTAAGAAGTCAGTCTGGGCCACCTCAATGACTATTTGAAGTTGCCTAAGCTAGGAATTCAGGAATAAAGGAAATCCCTCCCCTCCCCCCAGGTCACCCCCCCCAATATGTTACTTAGATAAAAATTCTAGCATTATCATAAGGGAAAAAAAACAAGGTAGGTCAGTCTACTGATCAGCAAGAGCCTATGATTATCAACATGGATTTTAGTTAATACCTTAGGAATAATCATAATAATACCACATTTTTGTACAGGACTTGGTTTCCAAAGTGTTTACACATATGTTGTTTTCATCTGATCCTTTCAAATTCATTTTGAGTTGAGTTGAGTGGAAATAACTTGCATTTTGCTAAAAATGAAACATAAACTCAGCGAGGAGACTTGCCCAAAGTCACAGAGATGTTTCTTGATCATAGACTTGGAGCTAAAAGGAACCTTAATATCCCTTAGTCAAATCCTCCTAATTTTACAGATGAAGAAACTGAGGCCCAGAGTTTACATGGAAAGGAAGTGGCAAGACCAGGGTTAGAATGAGGACTCCTGACTCCAAGATCAGTGTTATCTGCAATTCACCTACTGTCTTCCTTTCTGTCAATGGTGGAAAGATTGTGGTCACACAAATCAACACTATCTTGCTTCAGGGGAAATACAGTGATTAATAATCAATCACTTAACTATGTACTGGGCATTGTACTATATGAGAGGGATACAAAGAAAGGCCAAACAAAACACTCCTTTCTCTTAATCAGTTTAAATTCAAATGGAAGAAACAACATATAAAGAATTACATACATAAAAGATATATACTAAGTGGACAGAAGGCAACCTTAGCAGAGAGGGAAGGCTCTGGAGGAACTGAGAAAAGTCACCCATTGAAAGGGGACCTTGAGTGGAGTCTTGAAGGAAGTCAGGGATTCTGAGAGTCAGAGGTGAGGAAGCAAAGAATGTCAGGCATGAGGGACAGCCAGTGCAAAGGTAGGGAGATGGGAAATGGTGGGTGTCGTATAGGAGGAATGGTAAATAAGTCAGTATAGCTAGATTGCAGGGTAGCAGAGAGGAGGAAAACATAAGAAAATTTGGAAGGTAGAAATGAACCAGGATGTCAAGGACTTTATAAAGTTTTTTAAATGGTTTTAAATGAAAAAATGACATGGCATTTTGAAATAATAATGATTATATAAAGCACTTAACACAGCGACTGGCACAGAGTTGGAGCCATACAAATGTTAGCTATTAATATTGTTATTGTTATTGTTAGGATGAAATGAGATAATATTTGTAACGTGCTTAGCACAGTGCTTGGAACATAGTAGGTGCTTAATTTTATTAATATCGTTCAGATAGTTTCTAATAGAGTGTAAAAATTCACTTAAAATATCTATTAACTATATTCTAAATTAGCATTGATGTACATAGCAGGTGCTTAATAACTCTTTGTTGAAGCTGAATGGATGTTAATAAGACTTTCACAGAAAAGTGTGAACCCAGAAAACTCAGCAGATCAAAACTGGCAAGGCTGTAAGTTAGCACTGCTCTGGAGGCATTTAACTTCCAGGAACTTCCTTGAAGTTTCAGGAACTTCAAGCTTCAAAAAAGCCATGTGTCCTTTCTAATAAGAACAGGCTAAATCTGTAGAAAAGTGAATGAAACATGGCAATGTTGGCAGTCCTGTATTTCAGAATGGTGTTAGGCACCAGAACAAATATAGTCCCAAATGACAAAGTGCTCATTTTCACTCTTCAGATATCCCCAATATTTTCTATGATGAGTACAAACAATTTCATTCAACTTAATTTCCCGGGAGCCCACTTTATGCAAGGCACTCCAAGACATAAAGATGTATAGACATACACCACAATTCCTACCCTCAAATAGTGTCCATTTTGATAGGGGTGATGAGGTTGTATATAAATAAAAAAAATACAACACAGAATTCATGAAATGCCATAAAAGAAATGTAGGTATTCTGTGCGTGTGTGTGTGTGTGTACACACACACACACATATACATTTACATATACATGTGTATGTATATGTATATGAATTTCTATGAGACACTAGAGGAGAATATGATTAATTTTTCTGGGCTTCAATTTTCTCATCTGTGAAAAAAGAAACTAGGTCTAAAGTAGCTCTAAGGTCTCTTCCAGTTCTAAAAGCCTAGTAGATGGAGCACTGGCCCTGGAGTCAGGAGTTCAAATCCTACCTCAGATACTTGAGACTTACTAGCTGTGTGACCCTGTGTCACACAACCTGTGTCACTTAACCCCACTTGCCTTGTTAAAAAAAAAAAAAAAAGAAGCCTATGATTCTAATTTTGATGGAACTCAGTGAAGGCTTCATGGAGGAGAAAACATCGATGCTGCTTGGTCTTTGAAGGATAGATAGGAATTTCAAGAAGTAGGGATGGTGGGAAACTGATATTCCATAACAAAGTACGAAGAAGACAAAATATAGTGTGTTTGGCAAATGGTGAAAAGCTGGATTCGAGTCTAGATCTAGCAAAATATTTGAAAGTTCCTTATAGGTATCTATCCCACATAACAAGGAGAAATATGGACTTAATTATTCCACATAGTTTGCCATAGATGGATGGGAAACTGGCTTAGTGATTGGGCCTCATGGTGGGCTGTTTTAATGGACTGATGTCAATATGAAAGAAAGTATCGAGATCAGAGTTTCTTAACCTTTTTGGTGTCATGGCCCCATGTGGCACTTTGGTGGATCCTATAGGATTCTGCTCAGAATAATTTTAAATGCATGAAATGAAATATATGAGATTACAAAGGAAATTACTTATACTGAAATATAGCTATCAAAGTATTTTCAAAAAGCAAATTCAGAGATTTCAGGCTGAGAACCACTGTTCTAAGAACAGTGTTCTTAAGGATGTTCTTAAGAATATCCAAGTCATAGAATTCTGAAATTCTATGGCAAGAGCCTATTTTATACAACAGGAAGAGGCCAAGATTTGGGAGCCATGAGACAGAGATTCAAATCCCAGTTCCAAAAACTTACTAGCTGTGTGACCATGGGCAAGTCTCCTCATCTGCAAAAAAAAAAAAAAAAAAAAAAAAAAAAAAAAGGGCGATGATCTCTAGTTCATGGAGTTGGTGTAGGGAAAGCATTTTGGAAACCAGAGAGCATAGTATAAATGAGGCCTATCACCATCACTGTTGTTGTCATCATCATTGTCATTTTTATTATTGCTCCATCATGGGAAGCTGAATGAGTCTACAGCCATGGAAGTTGCACTGGTCTTGGTAAACATCCACATTATATCCTCTGACTCTCTTAGCAAGTATTCCACATAGCACACCTTCAAGACTCTGCCTGATGTGTATCAAAGAATAAATATGGAACCTCTTTGAAGTTAGAAAGTCAAACCTATGCTGCTACAAGCTATATGATAAAATATAAGGTATTATTACTATGCCAGGAGAGTCACAGAGGTGGCTGGGGGGGGGGGGGGGGGGGGGGGGGGAGGTTCAGTGGACCTGGAATCAGGAAGACCTGAGTTCAAATGCAACCCAAAAAACCTACTAGCTATGTGACTCTGGGCAAGGCACTTAACCTCTGCTTGCCTGAGCATCCTCATTTGTAAAATGAAGATAATAACAGCACCTATCTCGCAGGATTGTTTTGAGGACAAAGTGAGATAACATTTGTAACGTGCTTTGCAAACTTTAAAGAGTTATGTAAATGATAGTTATCATTATCATAATTATTACTTTACATTTCTTAGTTTGTGTAGTAGAAAATAACCTCTGTGAAAGTAGGGATTTATCTTTTTTATCTTTGAGACAATATTTCTTGTGCCTAGCATACAGTAAATACTTAATAAATGCTTGTAGATTCAGTCTGAAAGAATCTCAAGGTTTCCGCCCAGTTGTGAAGGCAGGAGGCCTAAGTGAGAGCCTGAGAGAAAGGATAGGCTAGGATGATGGCTAGAAAGTTGTCAAAGTATAAACAGATTCTTAAAATGTCAGCTAGCACCCTTGGTAAGTTAATGAGCTTGACAGTATTTGTGTTTGAATTAAACAGAATATCTCTATGTTAAAATGGGGATTTAAAGATAGAGACACTCTGGCTGACCTAAATCAAGACTGGGCTCACCATTTGGAAAGAAAAAAAAAAAGACGAGGAAGGAACTTCTGGGTGTTATTTTATAACAAGGAAAAATATGTCTAAGGATAGTCACATATGTCACTGGCAAAGTTTGAAAAAATGCACATATTTACCTGAAGGATGCGCTTAATATGCTGTCTTTGAACATCATCACCTTCTGTACATTCTTTAATGCCATGAGGATAACAGATCAGCTGCAGCAATTTCTGCGCTTGCTTGTGTGAAAGAACAGGGTCCAATATAAGGTCCTTGTCCGTACACAATCTCTCAGGCTCTTTCAGACAATGTTCTCCAACCCATTCCTGGAAAGAACGTAATAAGGGGATAAGAGGTAATTATTTATAAGCAGAGTGAGTGAGTGAGTGAGGACTTATTGGCTGGCAGGTCAACAGCTCAGTCTGGGAATGCAACTCACCAATGGAGCTGAAGATGGCCCACGGGTCACAGATTTAGGACCAAAGAATCCTCCAAGAACAAAAAGTGTAACCTCTTCATTTAAAGCGGAAGAAATTGAGGCACAGGGTGGTTAAGTGACTGACCAAAAATAACATAATTAGGACGTACACAAGGTGAGATTTAAACTCAAATCTTCTCGACTCCACGTCCTGGTGGGAGTGTTTCCGTTATTCTCCCATTGCTTCTCCTGGCTATAAATCTTTCACGTAAGTATTTGACAGGTATATAGGTATGGTTCTTTCAGAGGTAGTACTAAAGGCTGGCCTTTTATTTTTCCTTTAAATTCCACTAATAAGTGGGAATATAGAAAAAAAAGTTAACCTAAAAAAGTAGCAATATTAAAAAAATATAATGACTTTATATCTCTTCCCCTTCCAAAACAGGGGACTGAAAGACATCTTCAAGGTCCTACATGGGACCTTAAACTGTACATATTTCTTTGTTTGTTGTCTTCCCCAAATGCTTTCCCTCCAACAACTCTATGAAGTAGAGATCATCCCCCTTTTTTTGCAGATAAGGAGACTTGCCCATGGTTACACAGCTAGTAAGTTGTTGGAGCTGGGATCTGAATCCCTGTCTCATGGCTCCCAAGACTGTAAGCTTCTTAAGGGCAGGGATGGTCTTTTGCCTTTCTTTGTATTCTCAGCCCTTAGCAGAGTGCCTGGCACATAGTAGGTGCTTAATAAATGCTTAATGAGTAGATAGAGCACCAGCCCTGAAGTCAGGAAGACCCGAGTTCAAATCCAGCCTCAGACACTTGATACTTTCTTGCTGTGTGACCCTGGGCAAGTCACGTAACCCCAATTGCCTCTCCAAATAAAATAAATACATAAAATTTAAAAAAAATTTCTTATTGATTGGCTGACTCCTAGAATTATCCCCTAATTATATTATTAAGACTTGTAAGAATGCCAGTTGTCTTATGGCTGTGGGCTGATGTGTGTGCCTTAGACAGCCAGAGGTCATAAATGTCAGGAGTTAAATGCACCCAAGGTTCGGAGGAATTATTGCTAGATTCACGACATCAGGATAATGTCATCGAGGAAAAACATTGGGAAAAAATGCACAGCCACATTGAACAAGCATCAGAGCCACACAGGGAACTTCCTTTCACAATGAATTGCTCTCTCTTACAAGGGCCTCTTGAGTATTCCACTCTAGGCAATGGAATCTGGAAAAGTACCTGCTGGCAGATTGTTCGTAGGACATAGCGAGCGTATTCGCTCAAGCTGGCGGTTTCTATGGAAACCGCTTTTCCACATGGCTTCATGGACTGTGAGGCATTCCAAATATCGTCATCATTCATGTCGTCTAGTAAGCCCCTCATTGTGAAGTCCTCACTTTTTAAGGTGTTGGCATTACTGTTGCTACCAATTTCGGCATCTCCTATGAAGCAGAAACACAGAAATGGTCCAGTTAAATATAGTGCCAAACAGTCTAAAAGTGAACATTTCTCTCTTTAAGTAGTTAGAAATCACAAATCTCAGAGGATCTAACAAGTTATGAAGCTATAGAAAATTGCTCTAACAAAGAATGAGAGAACTCTGATTTTATTTGCTAACAGAAATGGGAAAAAAAATTTTGCTTTTGAGAATGGCCCCTGATTTTGTTTGATATATATGTTCAAGTTCCATCCCCAGAACTTTAAAAAAAAAAAAAAAAGAAATACATTCCAGGTTCTGCTAACAACAGTCACACAAAAATTATAGCATGTTCACTTGTCCCCATTATTTTAAATCTGAATATGTGTAGAATTCATTTGACTTATAAACAAGGAGAAAATGGGTTACTCACCTTTCTAGATGTCCCTTTTCCATTTCTTCCCTCTTAAAGTCATTTATTTTCTCTCCATGGATCAAGAGAAAAGTTTTGACTGGTGGCGCCCTTAGCCCACCTTACTATGAACTTCTTGACAAGAGAGATCTATTTCCCTGGGGATGGAAAGGGGCAAGGCATACTAAGGAAGCCCTGTCAGGAAGAGCACTCATTGAATACCCAAGGCAATTCATTCACTTTTCTCTTGGCCAATCACTAGACAAATCAGAAGGGGTCAAAAGAAGCTCCTCGGAGCAATCTTACCATTTTCTTGGTGGAAAGGAAGAGAAAGAATGAATACTTTTGGCCAGCACTGCTTAAATGCTGACACAAACTCTGAAGAGCTGGAAATTGGAAAGCTTTTTTTGGCCATTACAGAATTGGATCAGCCATACTTGCCAAGGAAGTCATTTGTTTGAATCAGTAACAAGGATGCCACAATGGCTGCTGGGCCTTGCAAGGCTGGGTTTTTTAATTTTACTTTATTATTCACCTGGGAAGAGCTGCAAGATAATCTACCAGCATCAGCTACTAGGCTGAGGAAGTTTTTGAAAGTTACCATTTCTGAGCAAAGGCAAACCCTGACTAGGATGACAAAAATTCTCCAGCCAATCACAAGTAGCCAGAGAGTAATGACCCTTGGAAATCATTGGTAAATCAGTTTGACTTGATACGTAATTACTTGTTAAAAGCTTAAAGTAGGGGTGTGGAATTTGGGAGGGCACAATAGTTTTATAGTAACTCCAAAGAGCTCACATAGACCCTATGTCCTGTGCTCTCCAAATCAATCAAGAATTTATCAACCACCCACCACATGTAGGGCATGATGATGCTAGTTGCTAAGGGTACAAATGACAAATCAGAATATAACTTACGCTCATTAAGAGATTACGGTTTACTGGGGGAGGGTATAACATTTAAACCATTAAGTTTCTCTTTTTCTCTCTCTCATTGCTTGGGGAAGGGGAAAAGAGCACTGCTTAAGGGAGCAAAGAAAGACCTCTCATCAAAAGATATGGTACATGAGCTGAGCTGTGGAAGAAGCCAGAGATTCTCAGAAACTAAAGTGAGGAGGGAGTGTATGCCAGCATATAGTTAGACATACTCTACAGGGTATACCTAATGCTTATGGGGATGATACATAAACTAATGAATCAATGAATAAGCATTTATTAAGCACCAATGCCAGGCTGATGAGGATACAAAGACAAAATACACGCATGTAGGTATATACAAAATAGGTGGAAGTTAATTAATGGTGGAGGTGGGGTATGGTCAGGTCTCATGTTGGGAAATGACATTTGAATTGAGTTTTAAAGGAAACTAGAGATTCTCAGCCTGTGCAAAGGTATGGAATGGGTTGATAGCATATGAGGAAGAGCAAGAAAGTCATCTTTGCTGGACAGTAGTGTACATGAAAGGAAATAATGCACAATAGTCCTGGAAAGGTAAGGCTGTAGAAAAATGGTGAAGGTCATTCCATGCAAACAGAGGAATTTTTATTTGGTCACAGAGAACCACTGGAGTTAGTGAGAAGCGCTGTGGCATTATCGGACCCATGTTTTAGGAGTATCACTTCGGTAGACATATTGGAGAGAAGACAGACTGAAGGCATAAAGGCAAATTAGAAGGGATATCATCTCTCCTAATGTCCAGGCCAGACATGATGGATCCTGAGCTAGGGTGACTTTGTGGAGAAGAGTGCAGACAGGAGAAATGTTTTAGATTTAGAAATGATAAAATCTAGCCTGTACATGGATATGTGGGCTGAGTGGGGAATCGAGGATGACACGGTTTGGGAACACACCCACTCTGACACCAATAAGCCAAGACTCAATAGGAAAAACTTTGGGAAGTTTCTGTTCAAAATCTGCAACACGGTTAGCTTACTCATGTTGGCTAAAACGCACAAGGTCTTAGGCTATGGCAAAGATTCTTAACCTGGGCTCTGTGAACTTCATTTTTATTTGATAATTGTATTTCGATATAATCAGTTTCCTTTGTAATCCTATGTATTTTATTATATGCATTGGAATTTTGAGAAGGGGCCCATAAGGCTTTACCACACTGCCAAAGAACTCCGTAACACACAAAAAAATTTCTTTAAGAAGTCCTGGTCTATCTAGGCCAGCTACCAGATGACTTAAATGCTGCTCTTGGGTAGAATGAAGTGAAGGGAAGAAAGCTTGCCCAACAACCCTGACTTATCTGGCACATCTGAGGTTAACAATATAAAATCATCTCTGGGCATTATACCTTAGATGGAAAAAAAGCAATACTAGCACATTCTGACTGTCTCTAAGGGCACTGAGAAATATTATAGGCCTCATATAATTAAAGCTTAAAGCATTCCAATGATTCAGCTCTAATCTTGGGACATAACTCCTCCTCTTCCTCCTCCTCCTCCTATTTCCACTACCATGACTTTACTCATGGACAAACTGAAACCTAGGAGGTTAACTTGCCCAGGGCCACTTGTTCAGATAGAAAAGGAATACCAATACTGTAACCCAGGATTCCTGCCTTCCAGCTCAGGGCTCTAATCTGGCTGAAATTTAAACCCTCGGTGCCAAGCAGTCTGCCAAAAGCAAAGATTGATATTGTCTTCACCCTCTGGCACATAAGCTATTCATCTAGAGTGACTCTTTTGCCAACATTACAAACACAGAAACAACAACAATTGTCTGAAGATTCAGTTTACATCTCTGGATGCAACATCCTGCAATTAAAAATGCCACAAAAAAAGATTAGGTTTCCAATGGGAGCCACTGTGAGCAATCACTTCTTCTTTGGACTGGTCAGGAAAACCAGCCACGGGCAGCCAGCCACCAGCGTCCCACAACGAGCACATGGCTTCCACAAGAGCACAAACAGCTTTCAATCTTTTGTGCAAACAAGGTCCAGGCGGACAACAATCCTTCCGCAGTTTGGGCATTTAACCAAAAAGCGTAGTCTTTGAATGATCTTACCAAGCATGAGAATCGCTTTTAAGACAGCAAAGACCGCTCCCACTTCTATGCTGTTATGAGCAGCAGCTAAAAGGTGACGATCACAAGAAGAACGTATTCCAGGGAAAGGCTTCCCTAGGAGGGGACAGTGAACCACGGACAGCATCAACAATATTATCTCCATACAGTTAACAATACATTGTAACACTATAGAGTATGCAAGTCACTTCAACAGACAGTCTGGAGAACCTGACATTAGCAAGCCTTCAGAGTTATGGCCATGCGTCAATTCATGAGGTGATCAGGAAACATTACCATTACTTGGAATCGAAGTCTTTCAGCATTGATTACTAATTTGCTTCTTAACTGTGGAATATAAATGGGTGAGTCCTTGCCCCATCTACCATAAAACTGTCACACTTGCAGGTCCTGAATACACTATAGCTTATAAATAAATACTTAAAACTTACTTATTTAAATACTGAAAAAAATTAAAAAATAAATAATAAAATAAAAAAACCTACTTATTTAAATACTTACAAAAAATAAAAAACTTAAAAATGCACTGGGAAGAGAATTCCAACCCACTTATGCTTTTCTGCCCTCAAGAAGTCTCATTCTGGTGATTTTCCCTTACCAGAAAGAAAAATGAACATGAGCGTTGCTAGAGTCTTATTCCATGACCAAAAAAGAAAAAAAAAATACACTATTGTATGGCAGCATACCGCCCACCAACAGTACTTTACCAGGAGTCAAGGTATTTTTATTGTTCATTAGTTTCTCATTAGCATTTCTCAATACATCCTGGTTATTACTTTAGTGAAAGATGTTCTCAAGTTCTATATCAGTTATCTCACTACTTCCTCAACCCTTGAACAAGCCCATCAAAATACCAGAAGGAAAGAGTAAGCCTAGACGTCTACTGGGCAATTTCTGGAGCTTGATACCAAAATGAAAGAGTTCAACAGGTGATTTTCAGCTGCCGACTTACCTGTCGCTTGAGGTAACAAACAGACCTGCGGGGTTCGGAAGAGATGAAGGAGTAGTCGGCACGTCATTCGTGCTCCAGGCTCAGCATCTGGATCTCCACAAGCTAAAGGAAAAAAAAAAAGACTTCAGTATGAAGCTTCTAGCATATATTTAAAAAACATTTTTTTTTTAAATTTAGATCCTCATTTAAATGGCCCCAAGTAAACATTCATCTAAAACAGGGGTTCTTAACTTTTTGTGTGGCATGGATTCTTGACAGTCTGGGAAAACCTATGGACACTTCCTTGGAATAATATTGATCTAAATTCATAACATAAAATGCACAGGATAACAAAGGAAACCAGTCATATCAAAATATTAAAACAAAAAGTTCATTGACTCTGGGTTTTGAACCCCTGATAGAAAAATTTTGAAACACTTGATATTCCTCAAATTATGGATTTAACATTTGTTTTTTTCATTCAAAAACCGGTTACCAAAAAGTCTTTACTTTAAGTAGAAGTCAATTCTATTTATACCCTGATGATGAGTATATTATTAGATTTGTCTTAGTTGAGGTGAAGGCCAGGTGACTGGGGTTTTGTCCCAGGCTGCTAAAATGTTGCAAAGGAGAGGGATGCTGTCTCCTCAGTGTCCACAATGTATGGCATAAAGTTCCTTTTCTTTCTAAACCAGGCTAAGGAGAACATCTCCAGGGTCGTATCACTATGGCAGCCTTTTCACGGGGGCTTGCCTTCCCCGCTGATAGAACTCTCCATCAGTCTTCAGGATTTGGACAGTGTAAAGTATTGTACAAAGTCAAGGGCTGCCCACTCTAGGAACGGGGTAGATTGCCCACTGTACCATCCATCACTTTTGTAAACAAATTTGCCCTGGAGACAAAAATTCCTAGTACATCTTGAATAAGGTCTATGGTTTACAAAAACCCCCCAAAATTCGAAACCACCCCTTGAATCTTGACGCCATCTTCTACCTGTCAGCAAATATGCTAGAAGCTAAGAACAGAGACATAAAAAGTTTTTCCGTCACGATTTTCCTACCTGCCGCTAGCAGCGAAGGAAGTGCTACATGCTGGACAACATCCTCCAGGGAAAAACATTGCCGGGCTATCAGAATCGCAATGAAGGTGGCCAGTGAATCATGGAAGGAGAGGTCACTGACCTTTAAAGAAACGAAGCAAAACAAAACAGGAGAGAATATTAGCATGTTTTCCCACCTGTTTAGTCACATGTAAGATTATTATCAAAGAGATACTGGCTAATTGGCACTATCTTGCTGCAATTATCACACTAAGCCACTAATTTGACATTATATTTTAAATGATTATTACACGCTGTTCTTGTACCTCCCTAAAGACTTCTTAATGGAATTTAGAAAGGGGGAGTATGTTTTGTCCTCTGACCAATTTTTGAGTCACATGGAAGAAGAGGATACTGGTTAATCAATATGATACCACCACAATTCAATTCAGTTCAATTCAATGAGGGTTTATTAAGCACTTTGTAAACGCCAGGCAACTGAGCTTCAGGTCGTTGCTACAAAGACAAATATACAAAGAAATAAAGGGGGAATCTGCAGAGAGTCTTTCACAAGATTTAATACTACAGGATACTTAACCAATAAAAAAAAGAATCCGAGAGATCCACAGAATTAAAGAATAATATTTTATCATGAATATAGACATAAAATAAAGGTTAGTGACCAACAGACACCTCAAAAGAAACATAAAAGAGCCACACAAGTTTGCTGAAATTATGAAGGGAAAGGAAGGCTTTTATACTCACTCACCCTCTCTCTCTAATATAACATATACATTATATATGTAAAAATTATATATTATGTATACATATATAATATATACATACATATTAAAATTATATATTATATATAAAAATTATATATTATATATACATATATATATATATATAAAAATTTAAGTTTTCCTTCCTTGAATGGTGAAAAATGGTAGGAGGTTTGGCTACAGTTTATAAGAATATGATGGAGGCAGAGATAAAGTGAATATATAATTGTTTCACAAATCAACAAGTAGAACGAGGAGAAAGGTCCAGTCCTTGAAGACGTGAAAATAAGCTACACAAAAACATATAACCCAGTACTACATAGTACAGGCAGAAAATATCAATGTGTTACAAAGGAATCCAAAAGAAAAAGGTCGTACTGAGGCAATACATTCCCTCAAGTAAGACTACAGATGTACAGTGCTTCACAAACCTTAAAGCCCTATATTAATGCTTCGTTTTGTTTTTAGGTCTCCCTATTTTGTCCAGGTTGGACTTCTAACAGTCACTTATAAACTCAGTTCCTGTAATGATCAGCATGGGAGGCATAACCTGCTTTGTTTCTGACCTGGGCTGGTTCAACCCTCCTTAGGCAGCCTGGTGGCCCACCACTCCCCAGTGCTCACTATATTGATGTCAGACTTGGTGAGGACACCCAGTCAGCTTAGCCCACTGCAGCTCTGAACTCTGAGTTCAAATGACCCGTTAATGTCAGCCTTTCCAGTAGATGTGAGCCATCATGCCTGGCTCTACTATAAAAATGTTAGCTATTATTTTTATCATTATTGTTGTTATTGCTAATCATAATAATAAGGGAAGCTAGTTTAATTTGGATACAGAATTAGTTTTTATAGAATATAGTCTCCCACATACAATTCCTTAATATTCAGATTTTATTTGATCTAAAAATTGTGTTCATGTCATTAAAGTGGTTTATGCATTTATGTTCCACATTCTGAGTAACCTAAAGTATTGTGCAGAAACGGGGGAAAAGACACTGATAAAGGAGTTTCTATGCCTAAGTAATAGTAGACAAGGGTACAACCAACTGTTTTTTATCCTAGTGCTTTCCCTATTTTAATTATTTCCTTTTTGTCCTGTATGGAGCATGTCTATATTAATTTGTTCGCTTGTTGTCTCTCCCATTAGATTGTGAGCTCCTTGTGGGCAGGGACTGTCTTTTGCCTCTTTTTGTATCCCTACTGCTTAGCATAGTGCCTGACACATAGCAAACACTTAAAAAACATTCACTGATTTTAATGAATATAAATGGAAAACCTGCATATTTGATAAAGTAAAAGGCTTCACATGATATCTTATTTGATCCTTATATCAACACTATGTAAGGACGTGCTATTATTATCTTCATTTTTTGGATGAAGAAACTAAGGCACAGAGAGGATAACTTACGCACCCAGGGTCACACTGCTAGTAACTGCGGAAGGATTCAAACTCAAGATTTTTTAACTCTGAATACCCTATTCTGTCCAATGGACCTGTGGTTTATGACTTAAACCAGATCTTTATCTTTTAATTTATGATTCAACTGAGATACAATTTTTGCAGTAGTGCAGTTAAGGGCTGATTAGAAAAATAACTAAATGTTGCTAAAAAATGAAAAATTAAATAAATAAAATAATAAAAATTAAAATTAAAATAAAAAAATTAAAAATGAAATAGAAAACTCACATCTACACTGCAAAGTAGATCGTTGAAACCCCACACGTGATTGGAAGAGCAGCAAAGGGCCTTGAGGACGCCTAACCATTCTGAGCTGAGCACAGTACAGCAAGCCGTCAGCTCAGCACATAAGTTGGCAATGTCATTGATTCTAGGAGAAAGAAAACACAAAGTAGACAGTACGTTCACACAAAGGGAAAGCATTCGTTGACACATACGTTTAATGGACAATCAAGTCTCATTATGTGGCAGGCTGAAAGATTAAACCTTGACTCCAGACATCAAATTTCTTAGGGTTAAAAATGGTACTTACCAATAAAATGTAAAAAATCTTGTAACAATTGATCAAGTCACGAAATTTGAATTGTTTACTCTTAAGATAAAAGATCCTTTTCCCTCAATCTGTAAAGTGTCTCAGTGGCTACTGTTAGGGTAATTTTCTCATGGGAGTTCTAGCTTCTCTTAGCAGAAGCTGAGAGTCACAACCTGTTGTGTGGCAAAAACAAGGAAGTCTCACAAGACCTCTCCTTTGCTGACACGCAGCTCCCACGGTTGGTTTGGCTCTCCTCTCATTGGGAGAAAAGTCCTACTCATACCCCTGACACGAGGGCGGCAAGTGTCCAGCAGATTTGGTGATTGGCTATCACGTGGACATCATGCTTTGATCAGGTGTTACCAGGGCTATAAAAGAAAGCTACTAGCACTTAATAAACGGAGCTTCTGCCATTTTGCTGTCTCCCGCCTCTTCAATGCGCCTTCAGGTTAAGAGTATTGAGCTGGTCTCATGCTCACCACTGCAGCGGCCACATCAGCTACAATTAAACCGCTGTCACTGAGCTTTCCAGTTACCCAACATCAGATGATTTCAATGGATTCTGTAGCATTTGTCAAACAGTGTAACCCCAAATCAGAGCCAGACATAAAGACTTAAATTATTTCGACTGCCCAACAATGTTAATTTACAACGACAAGGAGGACGGCATCCAACAACAGTACGAAAAGTACCGAGGAAAGCCCAGGGCTTGGTGCATAGTAGAAGTGCAATAAATTCTTATTGACTTGATTGAAATAGAGTAGTCTAATAATAAAATATACAGCTCAGTTTATATTTTCACGTAGAGTTTTAAAGAAACAACATAAAATTAAGAAAAGCCAATAACAAAGTAATTCCTTAGTTCAAATGTGATCAAAATCCAGCAAACACTTAAAATTTATGTCTGTTTCTACATTTATAAAATCTTTGCTTATAAATTTGTAAATTTTACCTTTGTTATATCTGCTTCTACAATTGTAAAATCTATGCTCATCAATTTATAAATTTATATTTGTTATGTTTGCTTCAACCTGTGCTTATTGCTTATATTATATATAATTATATATAATATATTAATATTACATATGCTTATATTATTATATATGCTTTGTTGCATATTTGTTATACGTGTTTGCTTTGAACTACCAGTAATGGTATAGACCAGAGAACATTTCTCAGTCTAGGGAGGTGATGCCATTTTAGGGAAAAAATTACAGGACATCAAATAGAATGAAGCAGGACAAAAGAAATATGTGAAGGGCTAAATAATCATTAGGCTTTCTTCATATCTTTTTAGCACCTTCACTATCTAGAAAAAGAGGGGCGAAGGGCAAGACAAAGCATCTTACCTCTCTGCGTCCTGATGCCCCATACATACATTCATGAGTGCATTGCACACAAAGCTATAGCGGTTAGCCGCATTGTCGCTGAGTATCTTGCCCAGCATGGAATAGTTGACATTATGAGCAGAGGGATTCTCAATAAAATCCAACATGAACTCGGGGTCCCACAATAAGTTGGAGTTGGAAGGTTGCACATTGCTGTAGATGGTCTGCTTTACTTTTGAACAGGCACTACTGAGGATTAAAAAAAGAAAGAGAGAGAAAGTGTGAAAAATAAATAAATCCAAGCAAAGTTAAAAGGTTGTTTCACTGAAGGGTAGATTAAATAACAGGACTTCTAAAAATCGTGTATTACTTTATAGGAGTCACTTACCTACATTCTGTTAACAATATCAGATGATGGCTACGAACAAAAATGCCTTTATCATTGGTCAGACCTGTGATTTCATTGGTATGAGGAAAGGCCTTCCACCAATGCAGGTCAGTACCTTCTCTGAAATATAGCCTTAGTCCCCTCAAGCAATGCTGTCAAACTCAGACAGAAACAGCCACAATTCTATTCATAAAGATCTCCCTGTAGGCCTCACATTGGTTTAGGTTTTTTGTTGTTGTTGTTGTTGTTGTTGTTTTTTTTTTTTTTTGGCTAGGCAATGGGGTTAAATGACTTGCCCAGGGTCACACAGCTAGTAAGTGTTATGTGTGGTTTAGCTTTGAAATGTAATGTTATCCATGTTTCGCATTTTTTGTTTATTTTGATAAAAATATTTTCCAATTACATTTTAATCAGGTCCAGGCCACACTCAGTGTGCTGCAGGACGTCTGTTGGACACCTTCGGTTTAGAGTAGTAAGAGGTTAAGTGACACAGTTCAGTGAAAATGCATTTCAGGGGGAGACCTGAACTCAAGTCTTGGTGGTACCAATACACCACAATGTTTTTCATTATTATTATTAATGTTATGGTTGTTGTTGCTATTGTTATGGAGGCAGTGTGGTGCTGTGGATTTTCATTCATAGGCACTAGATTAAAATTTTGGCTGTTAGTGACTTTAGGCATGTCACTTAACCTGTTTTTCACTTGTAAAATGAAGGAGATTGGACTAGAAGACTTCTATGGTCCCTTCCATATCTAAAACTATGTTCCTGTTTCATAGGACCTGTGATTTCATCAACGTAAGGAGCTCCTAGTGAAGAGAAAAATCTTCCGCTGATACCTATTCCAACAGTCGATTCTAGCTCATAATCTTAGAGAGCTGCCTCCCAGTAATGACAGCAGGTAGGTGGCGCCATAGTTCATAAAGTGCAGGGCCGGGAGTCAAGAAGACTCATCTTCCTGAGTTCAAATCTAGCCTCAGACACTGATAGTGGTGTGACCATGGGCAAATCACTTAACCCTCTTTGCCTCAGTTTCCTCATCTGTAAAAGGAGCTGGAGAAGGAAATGGCAAACCACTCCAGTACCTTTGCCAAGAAAACCTCAAATGGGGTCACGAAGAACAGGATGTGACTGAAACAACTGAACTCCCTTCTCCTCGTCTCTCTTTCTCCATCACTCTGATTACTGTTCAGAAATACTGCTATTTATAGATAAATTGTGTGAGGTATGGATCCAAAACACCTGGACCCCAACGTCCTATGATTTAGTCAGCAAAAATGTGCCCATCTGACATGAACATTTTGATGCAACACTGTAACTGACCCCTTAAGTCTGTTAAAGAGGTATCCCCCAGTCTCTGAAGACATTCTGAGAGCACTGCAGTTCATGCGTGAGTCAGTGAACTGGCCTCCTTTTGAATTCACATGAATTTTCAAACAGAAAAGACTAAAGACTAAACCCTTCACAATCTTCACTTATGACATACTGCCTGGTGTTAACGTAAGATAAAGCTGCTTGGTAATCTTCAGAAAAGAGGATATGTTCTGCACCCATTGATAAGAATCATGCCCCACTAGACAGCAGTCACAGATTTTAGTCTGATTTACTGGACTCACAGAATAGAAAGGATAAAATTAACAATAATCCACTAGATGGCAACATCATACAATTACCCAAGCATGGCTCTTTTTGAGGCAATACTAAAAACTCTGACTCAAAACAGTCACAATTAAGAAAAAAAGAAATTTTTAATTATGTTTCATGAAAAGATTAAGGTGGTGATGAGGGATTATTTTATGGTGTTTTTTTTTTTTAATTGCAATCGTAGGAGTAAGTCCAAGGTTTTACACATTGTATATGAGACTAAATTGGCCAAGATATCTATCTTCCATCCTTTCCTTTCTATTCTTCAGTTATCACCTGCTGCTCAATCTATTTTCTCCATGTCCTCTGGCTACCTTTTTATTGTCTTTTACTTAGCACTCTTTTAAAAAATCCTCTACCTAAATCTTCAATGCTATTATTAGCTATCAATCTCATCACTACCTACCATAATCTCTCCCTCCATAACATCATCCTTCCTTCATTATTATTCTTTTCCATTCTCAGCTTCTGCTTTGACTCAGTATTTAGTTCTTCTCTTAACCCTTCCCCATCCCTCCCCTCCAAAAAAGCAATCATTCTTCAAATGTTCTTCTGGCTTTCCTAAGTCTGTCTGATTTTTTCCACTTCCAATTATACAATATGAGGGATGACATCAAATGCTTACACAGTAAAAATATTCTTGGTTACAAATGTTCTTTTTACTTCCTCCACTCCAACTTTTTAATTTATTCTAACAAAGTAGCTAAGAATCCTAAAATGAAGTCTCTTTAACATCTTTATACTCACTCCATGGTTACTGTGATTTCTTCCATCCTTCCTCCTTCTCTCTCTTCTTTCCTTCCTTCCTTTCCTATCTGTGGATCTTTCAACATAAATGGCTTTTTTCTCCCTTAAATTTTTTTCCTACTTTAACCTCTTTCTGATCAAGCTTTAATCTCTTTCAGGTCAAGCACTCCACGGTCTGTGTCACTTAACTACTGATTAAGATCAACAATTCTGAATTCTTACTTAATATCACCAGGTAAGAGTTCACTTGCATAATCTCTTTAATATCTTGGGAAATTTTTATGAAGTGGCACATGATTAATTTGGAGTACAGAGAAAGAATTAAACGGGCTTGTCTCAGAAGTCTAATATATATCGATGTGGTCCAATACATAACATAAGGACATAATTGTAGAGGCTAAAAAAAAATCCTGATTAATAAAGTTAGTAGACCCAAAAGCACAACCACAAAGCCAAGGGTTCTTAACCTTTTTTTGTATCATATACCACCCATCATCTCCTTTAGCAGTTGAGTGAGACCTATGGACCCCTTCTCAGAATAATGTTTTTAAATACTGAAGGAAATAATAAATTTTATTTAGACGTTAGTGAAAATATTTATATAACATTTCCCCCCACACCAAGTTCATGGACCCTCCTAAAGGCTCTGAATCCCGGGTTAAAAACTCCTGAATTAGACTTAGACAGCATGCATGAACCCTTTTCTAACAAGTGATTCATCTAGGCTTTCTCTCAATTAATCAATCAATAAACACTTACTATTTGCCAGGCACTATGCTAAGAGCTGGGGATATAAAAAGAGGCAAAAGATAGTCAGTCCCTGCCCTCAAGGAGCTTACAATTTAATGGAGGAGACAACTGACAAACAAATATATACAAAGTAAACTATGAACAGGATAAATGGGAAATATAAAAGAGGGAAGGCACTGGAACTAAAAAGTGTTAGGGAAGGCTTCCTGGAGAAGGTAAGATTTTAGTTGGGACCTAAAGGAAGCCAGGGAGGTCAGTAGTTGGAGAAGAGGAGGAAGAGTATCCCAGGCATGGGGGACAGCTAGAGAAAATGCCTAGAGCCGAGAGAAGAGATTGACTTATTCTTGGAAAAGAGAGGAGTCCAGTGTCACCGGGTTGAAGACTACATGTTGGGGAGTTAGGTATAAGAAGACTGGAAAAGTAGGAGTGAGCTAGGTTTATAAGGCTCCAAATTTATGTTACACTACCTCAAATGGGCTCTCACTGTTGTTCAGCAATCAGTCCCAAAATAAATTTGGAGTGGACCCAGTTAGAACAGTCACATAGTTTTTTCCACTTTCATTTAGCAGCATGTGTTTAGGAGTGAGGGTAAAAAATAGGGGGAGTGATCCAAGACTGAGGCCTGGCTGGATGTAATCAGAGACATTATAAGAGGGTTTGGGATTCTACAGAGGAGGACAGTGTATAATTGAATTGGTTCACCGAAGGGTGAAGATGGGGATGTGAGGATAGAGTGGCTAGTGCAGCGGAGATGGCCTGGGGAAGAATTGCAATGTCAAGGGTTTGGAAGTCACAGTGTGCTTGAAGAGTAAGGTTATTTGAAGGAAAGCAGAGAGAGAAAGGAGAAAAGCCAATAGATTATGGTCAGACAAGGGGATTTCAGAATTCTTAAACATGAAGGTAGCACATTTGTTCATGATGGCAAGATCATTGGTATAACTACCTTTGTGTGTGGCTGAGTTTGAGTAGAGAAGTAGCTCATGGGAGGTAAGTGAGTTGAGGAACTGGGTGGTTAAGGCATTTGAGGAAGACAGAATCTGTGAAAAGTCCTCAGGAATGTGAACCAGAAAGCAGGCAGCCTTTAATCACAAAATAAACAAGCATCTTCCAAAAAGGCTGGAACCCCAAACCAAAGTTCTTCTGTGTTTGATGACTACAGTCCCAGTACTGCTAAACAAAGACTGAAACAATTTTTCAAAATGAAATGATTAGGAAGTGATCCCCACATAGCACCCATTCAAGAATGAGTGTTAAAGAAAAGGAAACCCAGTGTATCTTATTTTTAAAAGTTCCCCACCCCTACTTTAGAATCTTAAAACAAAACAAAACAAAAACAAAAAAAAAAAAACAACCAACTTTCCAGTGTTGGCTTCCCATGAGGCAACTAGAATAAAAAAAATTTTAAATGGCAATTTCATGATGCAAAAAGAAAAACCAATTTAAAATTAGAAATATATGAATCTTAAAGAAAAATCACTATCTACTATGTGTCTGAAACAGCATACGAGAGTAGCACAAAGGCAGTGACCAGCTAGAATTCCGTAATGATACTTCACTTATAGGAGGTAATTCCTGGAATTGATTTTTTTCTGTTAAAATTTAAAGGTACCCAGGAAAATTTTAGTACTGCTTGTCTAAAATGAACCCTACCAGTATTGAACATGAATAGTTCTTGACGCTATTGATAATAGTTATTGATGAGTTATTCTTTTTTGAAGTTTAAGAGTCAAAATTGGATGATTTCTGAATATGGTGGTTTATAGTTTAAAAAGACAGTTTATTAAAGTTAAAATATTTGCCATGCTTATTATATTATATTGCATTATATTATTTTACATATTTCATTGAGAATGTTATATATTATCATCATGATTATATACTCTCATGTTAACAGCAGGAAAAATAATCCTGTATTGTCATTAATAATGCTAAGAATAACTGCTGAAAGTCAAATTAGTGTATCTCACTAACTTCCAGGAGATATGTGATAGCAGTAATTATTTAAGACTTCTATGTTTACTATATGAAAAGTTGTCATAGGAAAGAACAGGCACATCTTCAGTAAGACAAATGGAAATAAATATTACAATGTCAAGTGCTGTGGTTGATTAAGACCTTGTTTACAATTGGCTAAAAAATCAACTTCTCCACTGAATTTTTTTTTTGCCCACCTTTCTCCATGATTGCTACTCTGCATCACTGATAGCTTCAACTGAAATGACATTTCAGTAACTGAGACAGACAAAACAGCACAGGCATATATATATTTTTTAAAGACTTCCAACTTAGTTCTTGGGGACGTTTTAATGTTATTTTCATACACCCACCTGAAGAGGTCTCCAAATTTACTTCTTAGATGGCTACATGACACATAGAGATCATAGAGGTAGGCTAAGATGCATCTTTCGGGGGAGGAACATTCTGACGGGTTGACCACATGCTTTACAACACCACACAATCTAGAGGAGTTGTAGGGGAGAAAGGGAAAAACATTTTAAAAATTAGATGGTTCAAATTGGTAATTTTACCAAAGAGTTGACATATTTGGATGAAATATAAAAATTTCCTAGTTTCATAGTCTACTACTGGAAAGACAAAGTACCAAGACATTAAACTTTATAAAAAATAACTTTGGGGAAAAGTGAGGAAATATCTGGAGCACCCTCTTAAATGAATGCATAGGAAACAAGGAGAGGATAATAGAATGGGTAAGCTCTAGTCAGAACAAAGATTTGCAATTCTGGATGGCTATACAGGATGAGCTTTAAATTTCATGTAAGTTCCTCTCAATTTTTACTTTCACTTAAAAGAGTGGTTTAAGCAAATGAATTCCTTGAGCAATGTGGTGAGTTCTCAAGAAGTTTCTGAAACTTCCTCCTTAAGTTTCTTTGAAAATAGGGAATTGTTAGGAACATATCACATAACAACTAAAGAGCCTTCTTATCATTACAACTTATGGTGGTGACTTTCTATGACTTCTGCAGTTGTTTGAGACTAAGTGATTAAAGTGAAAACTTGGTTGGTTTTTATTCATAGAAAAAGTCTACTGGAACATAAGACCTAAAAACTTGGTCAAACTTGAGGTCTGCAGTCTAGAATCCAACCAGCCTTATATTCTACATCTAGCAAAGGCAATATCGTGCTAGTAAAGTATGATTGTTCTCATGACCTCACATCGTTAGGCTTCTTACTTTAATAAGAAGATGGAGACCATCTAACATGAGCGTGCTTGGTTTTCTTTCATTCCTCATAACCTCTCTCTAGCATCAGTCATTTTCTCCTTCTTCCACTTGATCACAGAAGAAATGGTATCTCTGGTCTTCTTTAATTCTACTCCCTGTGCCCCAGATTCCATTTCATCTTGCCTTCGGCAGAACTTTGTTTCAGTAATTATTCTCTCTCTTTTTCAATATATCTTTAGGCTTTTACTTGCTGTAGGTTCATTCCCATCCTCATCATTATACTGAAACTCTATCTTCTATTAGGAAGCAGGATGTAACTTGCTTCACAAGTGGCAAACTCACTCAAATACAACTGCAGAGGTTCTAACATAAATGGTAGGACAGAAATAGTTCTTCCCCAACTCCCCTAACAATCAGCCACATGAAGCACTGAAGGGACCAAATAGGACACGTATCCATTTCTTCTATTTTTTTCCTTTCTGCCAATTAGAATTCTTCTTCCTCTTCATGGACTGGAAAAAATACAATTATGTTTACTAAGTTAATTTTGTTGACCCTTACCCTAATCAATGAGTCTGAAGTTAGGAAAAAGGTTCACCACTCCCAGATCAATTCTTACCAAGGTCTGACATAAAACCAACAGAGAAAAGAAATGAAGGAATAAAGTCTCAGGAGCAAATAAATGCCCATCCTTGGCCTCTCTTAAATGAAGTCAATATCAAACGACTATTTTCTTTTCTCCTGTTTTTGGAACCAATGGGACTAAAATGTCTCAACCTGGCACCCAATACTAGCTATCCAACTTGAGTTTTGATAAAATGACATATAAAAATTCTTACATCCAAGTACATAATTTTCAATTCTTCATTATAAATAAAAAAATGGTACATAAAAGACTTTGGTAGATTAAGCCCATTATTACCCGTGAAATCAGAGGAGATCTTGGATGGCACTGTAGTTTTACTGTGAAAGCACTTCATCTGGAGAAGACACTTTTCAGTTATCCTTGTCTATTTACCTGAAAGTTCTACTTTTCACAATATGGATGTTCCAGTATTCTTATGAGAAGGGTATTTTATAAACCTTAAAAGTGCTAGATAAGGGACCTACAGATTCTGCTATTGAAAAGTAACCACCAAATATGTTTTCCATGACTTCATGTGTATAATGGGCATTATATTTCTTACCTTTTTAGGAGAGAGAAAATTTGGAACTAAAAATAAAAATTTAAACACAAACTAAAAAAAAGAAAAATACCACTTTTGGGGGAGAAGGAAGAACAACACATCTAATTCAGATGATTTTCAAAAGAAAAATACACTTCTTTTGAAAAACTGGGAAAATTGGCATGTTATGGTTGTAGTTAGGGCAACACACTTTGAACTCTAACTGGATGATTTAAAGGGCTCTTCAGCTGTAATACCTATATACCTGTACCTGAAGCCCACAAACATTAGCCTTTAAGCCAGTGGTGGGGAACCTGCAGTCCCGAGGCCATCTTGGGTTTGACCTTTTGACTGAGTCCAAGTTTTACTAAACAAATCCTTTTATTAAGGGGATTTGTTCTGTGAAGTTTGGATTCAGTCAAAGGGCTGCACTTGAGGACCTAGAGGGTCACACGTGGCCTCACACTTGGCCGCAGGTTTCCCATCCCTGCTTTAAGCTCTTTGCAAGGTCATTACCACTTTTTCCCACCAATTGTACATTCTAAATAAAAACATAGCCTTTCAGGACTACGAACCCTTCAAACACTTGGGCAGTCTGGTCCGGATTCAGGATGAGACAGGCGTGGTAGCGCCTCAGCACAGCCACAATGCACACACACAAGCCTGTCGTGTAACTTCCTGCCAAGCTGGAGGACTTCAGAAGCAATTCTGCCTCGACCACACTCAACTCATTGAGCAGCTGAAACACAAGGGGACACATGCTGAAGCAGCATTAAAAAAAAATAGTCTACAATTAATTATTCCCAATGCCTTTACCATCTCCTCTCCTCTCTGCCCAAAGGACTCACATGCATATAGCCATCCCATGCCCTAAGGCAAAAAAAAAAAAAAAAAGAAAGAAAGAAAGGAAGGAAGGAAGGAAGGAAGGAAGAAAGGAAGAAAGGAAGAAAGAAAGGAAGGAAGGAAGAAAGAAAGAAAAGGAAGAAAGAAAGAAAGAAAGAAAGAAAGAAAGAAAGAAAGAAAGAAAGAAAGAAAGAAAACAAGAAAAAGAAAGAAAACAAGAAAAAGAAAGAAGGAAAGAAAAGACCTAAAGAATTGGTAGCAGAAAATCGGGAGACTGCTTTGTTGATGTTTTTAAAATCTTCTCTGTCAAGGTCTTATTTTTGTCTAGACATTGTGTTGCATAACACCAGGAAGTATCTATGACTGAAATAGTAATTGAAACTTGAGAATAACTTTGCAGACCTGCCTCCTATATTGAGATAATCACAATACTCTTTAGAATATAGATTTGACTTCCTCTTGAAACTTAATACTTTACTAGAAATTGCAAGGGAGAGTGGGCCTCTGAACCACTCTCTAGAAGTATGAATTTTTAATAAGTGTTCTACAAACACATTGGGCTAATTTTAAATAAAGGTTTTGTTTTAATATAGAAAATGTTTTGTCACAAATCAGATAAATGACCATGTCCACTATTAAAAGAGGGCCATTTCTCTTCTTAAAAAGTTGCATCTGGAATATTCTTACACTATCCAAATAACTTTTAAAAAGAAACAAGTGAAGGTGTATTTAACGAACAACCACTATGTATACACTACTGTAGTGGGAAAAGCACAGGGTTTGGAGTCCAAAGGCTGGAATCAAGCCTAACCTTGGGGGGGGGGGGGGAATCATTATTTCTTTTCAAAAACTGGGATAATAATAGCTGGTCTAAGTATGTCATAAAGGTGGTATGAGGATAAAATAAGATTCCAATTCAAAAAAACATTTGTTGAATGTCTACTGTTTGTAAGGAACTGTGCCAGAAACTAACAACAAATGCTTGGCAAATATGAATATCTTAATAAATGCTTACTTATTGGTTCTATGGGGATTAGAGGATATGCAAATGTTTCTGAAACTATAAAGTAATACATCAAGTGAAGTAATTGAATGTAAAGCCCATTGTTAACCTTAAATCCCTACGTAAAGAAAAGTTATTATTAGATTACTGTTAGAATAACGATAGTAATAATAATAATAACTTATAATACCTAACATTTATATAACATATTAAGGTCTGCAAAAACTTTAGAAATATTATCTCATTTTATCCTCAAAATGACCCTGAGAGATTTTCAAAGGAGGAAACTGAGGCAAGAACAGAGATTGAGTAACTTGCATAGGGTCACACAGCTAGTAAGTGTCTGAGGCTGGTCTATCTGATTCCAGACCCAGTTCTCTATCCACTGTATCACCCAGCTGACAATAAATAGAAGCCTACTCTAACTTTAGAAATTATTAAGTTAATAGGTTTTTCTCTCTCCCAAACTAATATGAGAATCTATGGAAAATGCCTTGCAAGTTTTTGTTATTATTGTTATTGTTGTTATCATTAAACTGATTCCTTTGGTACCTGAATTGCAAAGTCAATAAGTCCGTTGATGTTCAAGGCTGGTTCCATAAGATCAAAGATAAGCTGAATGTGGTGTGCTAAGGGAAGATGGTAGGATGTTCCTGAAGCAAAGCTTGTTATCTGTTCCAGTACATTGCTAGAGATCTAGTAAAAGAAAAATGTGCTATCAGTTTTCATTGAAAAAAAAGTATTCTGAATAGCATGGAAGAAATGAAGAAACATGCATTCATATAGGACATCAGTTAAGATGAACGAAAATATTATAAACTCAAGTTCTACTGTTTTCAAAACTAACATAAAATTTCACTTGGTAGACCAAAACTTGGAGGAAAAAAGCTAACGTCTTTAACCACCATGAGCTGGGTAACAAATGTCACGCTGAGGCAGGCCATTACACAACTGATCCAAGATTTTGTTTGGTTTGTATATAAACCTACTACTCATTAGTTGCAATGTGATAACAGAATTTAACTACGTGATTAGTTTAGTTATCTTTTAAATGTTCCTACAATATAATCAGAAGCTAAAGACTTCTCAAGATGAAAACAATACATAAGCATTCTTCCAAAGAAGGATATTTGAAAGAAATATAAACGAAAGTATGGAACAGAGATTTTACCAAGTTCTACTGATATATATCTCATATTAAACTACTGATATATATCTCATATCTCATCTAAACAAATCTGAAAGTTGTCTAGCAGGACTAGAAAAGACACAACAGATATATTAAGGTAGTGGAAATAGCATCAAAACATCATCAAATTGAACTGATTTTTAGGGAGTACCTGAGATGTGACTTGATGTTGGTCAAAATAGGAGAGGAGTTGTAGTTTTGTGAATACGGTCTCCAGCGTTGGAAAGGTCTCTTGTTTGCTTTTCCTGGCTTTTTGTCCTTCATCCTCAACTTAATAAATAAAATAAAAGGGCAGTTTGGTCAGTTTGAATTTAATAAGAGTTGAAGAGCCGTACTATATTTAATAGACTATCAATGTCTCTGAACATATCCATAAGCTAAATTTGCAACGGTGCAATGTCTGATTTGTATTCTCCCTTGAAGATGTACCTATAGAAAAGAAACAACTTCTATGCTTTATTGCTTTATGAAGAACAGTACAGTATGAAATTAGATCACATCAAAGTGTAAACGATGTACAGACATGGGGGAAAAGAACCTAAAATAGAAAGCATTCTCTACAGCAACAGTTCTCAAACTTTTTGGTCTCAGGATCTCTTTACACTATCAAAAACTTCTAAGGAAGGACCTCTCCAAAGAACCTTTTCTTATTTACCATATTAGAAATTAAAACATCTTAATATTATAAAAATAGTTTTGACCTTGTGTACCCACCAAAAGAATCGTGGGGATCCCCAGGGGGTCCCAAAATTACATTTTGAGAAGAGAAACTGGGGGAACACACCAAAAGGACAAAACTAAAAACATAAGTGGAAAACTAGGCTGGACTTTTAAAGACTCTCCTAAAATATGGATTTCGTAATTAAAAATATTCAACAAATTTGAGAAGTTATCTAAGCCTCCATCTGAATGAGGGGGATTGAACTAGTAGACTTTTAAGGTCCTTTCTAACTTCAAAGCTAGAATTTTGTGACCATATATGGGGGTTTTAATTTCATTGATTAATGCAAAATTTCATTCTAGAAATTTAGTAACTTAAAAAAAAATTGGAATAATATCAGATACTGGGAAAGAAGTTGGTTAGAGTGAATCCTAAAATATATACATTTTCAATGGTCCAAGTAATGGCTTTAGTCCTTTTCCACTATAAGTCATGATAGATCCCAGCACTAGGACCAATTATTGTCTATTGCATAACTTGCTGCCTCCAGGGTGGAATTCAAACCTCACAGAACAAATCTTAATAAAAGGATTTGTTCTGTAAAACTTGGACTCAGTCAAAAGGCCGCACATGAGGACCTAGAAGGCCACATGAGGCCTAGAGGCCTCAGGTCCCCCACCCCTGGCTAGCCCTTCTGCAAAGCTGTATCAGAAGGGAAAAGACTGAGATCTGGAAGGGACCTACTTATTGCCTCTGGAATCAGATACAAAATTCTCTGCTTTTCATTTGAAGCACTTTATAGTATGGCCCCTACTACCTTTGCAGTTTTCTTATACCTTACTGCTACACAGAATAATACTAGGTATTCTTCAAAATGGGGACAAGACACTCCCATCTCCAGATTCCAGGCATGGAATGACTGTGCCCTATGCCCGGAATAGTCTTCCTATTTACCTCCACCTCCTGGTTTCCCTGGCTACCTTCACGTTGCAGTTAAAATCCCCTTTAATGAGAAGCCTTTCCCAACTGCTCCTTAAAGCTAGTGCTTTCCCTTTGAGATGAACCACAATGTATCCTATATATATCTTGTTTGTATATAGTTGTTTCCGTAGTATCTCCCTCATTAGAATGTGAGCTACTTTTTTACCTTTCTTTTTTTCCCCCAATCCCTAGCACTTAGCACAATGTTTGGAACATGGTAGGCACTTAATAAATGCTTTATTGACCACCAACAGATACTGTGCAATTCAAGTCTCTCATTTTGCGCACAAGAAAATTGAGGCACAGGGGAGTTAAATGGCCCCAGAGTCTGAAAGGCAGAAAGCATCAAACATGATTTGAACCCAGGTCTTCTGACTAAGGAATAAGAGCACCCTAAAGGCTGAATGGAGGTCGGGGAAAAGAATTCTTTTTTTTTTTTTTTTTTGGCGGCAATTGGGGTTAAGTGACCTGCCTAGGGTCACACAGCTAGTAAGTGTTAAGTGTTTGGACTGAGGCCGAATTTGAACTCAGGCCCCCCTGACATCAGGGCCAGTGCTCTATCCACTGTGCCACCTAGCTGCCCCTGAAGAGAATTCTTAAGGTCATAAAATATGTTCTTATATATGAATTTCCTTAAAAAAAATTTTTTTTATTGATATCTATTGCCTACATTTTCCCCCTCTTTAACTTATCCCACCCAGAGCGCCACCTCAAAGAGTTCTAAAAAAGAAAAAAGTGGAAAAAAAAAAACTTAACAGACTAATATTTCTCAAACTGCTTATTTTTATAATATCAAGTTGTGAACTGCTTATGGGCCCTAGCAAATGAATCTGTTTGGGTTTCACTAAATGTCTGAAACTCACAAGCCAATATGGTCAGGTGTCACTTAGTAAAAATCCTCGTACCCCCAAATGTAAGGGAAATATTTGCCTTTTCAATTTTTAAAGTATAAGGAAAGCAATTTAAAATGTTCTTTGGTAGCTTCTTACAGTTTTTGACAATGCTCAGTGACAGATGAAAGCTACAACTAACCTAATTTTGGGCCCTAATTAAACTAATTTCCTTTCTGTCTTGTGGAAGAGAAGAGGGGCAGGGAGAGAGAGAAAGAAATCAATAGTTATTCTTACAAAAGTAAGTCTTCTCTCTAACTAGCCAAGTAACTTCAGCAAAATGATACTGGAATATTCCAATTTTTTTTGACTTTTCACCTCAAATGAGCCAAGTAACCATAAAATTAGAAAATTCCAGGAAAATAGTGCCTTAGATGGCTATGAGAAAAGCTACAAGGTCCTCAGAGTTTCTTGCTGCTCAGACATTGAGAATATCCCACTCTACCAGACGGGCAAAATGGATGCTCGTTCTCAAGACTTTGAACAACACTAAGGATGGAAAATCAAAGGCCTAAGAATCTGGTCAGCCAGTGAGGGAGCTCAGAGACAGAAAGGGGAACAAGGAAAGACTCTTTTGGGGAAGGGAAGATGGTGAGCCAGCAAAGGAAGGAGTTTGAAATTTTCCCAGAAAAGATGAAGTACCCGGTTAGGTTTCTCAATAGAAGCTCAACTCAACACTAGCTTTATGTGAAAGGAAGTTTAATCCGGCAGGAGTTTGTGGGAGGAGGGGAGGCAGGATGGAAGGTATATAAGGAGGTCATCCAGGTGGTAGGTTAGCAGATTGTATTAGTAGAAGAAGTATGGTGGGAGAAGCTGTGAAGTTGGGGGACACTGGGAATAAACAGCAGTCTTTACTTGGCCTCCACCTCCACACCCTCAATCCCAGTCTCCTACTGGTCAATGCCCAAGCCAAAGTTCACTGGGGGTTGAGCAGCAAGGCAGGGGGAGGGGAGGAGAGGTGTGAAAAGGGAGAGAGAAGTAAATAGTAGGAATTTAATAAATGTCTTAATGACTGACTGTCTCATGTCAAGAGAAGCCACTGGACATTCCTGAATAGGGAAACAGGATGGGCAAATCTGTCCCTTAAGACCATCATTTTGACAGCTGAGTGAAGAGGTGCCTGGAGGCCCATCAGAAGGTTACTGAAGTAGTCTAGGCACAAAATGATGATGTCTGAACTAGGATGGTGGCTGTGTGAGTAGAAGAGGACAGACGTAAAAGATGTAAAAAAAGTAGAACCAATAACTAGTATATTTGGCAACTAACTGGACAAGGTCCTTATGAGATGCTGCAGAGGGGGAGGTGACTAGTAGTAGATCAGATATGCAGTAAAGAGCTGGAGATGACAGAGAGGGTGGAACTTGGGTAAATGGAATGAGAGGTGCTCTGGACAGAAACTGAGGAGGTCAGAAGAGGGGTGAGTTTGCTGGTGAAGACACTGTAACAAGAATGGTAAACCAAACCACAATTTAACCATACTTGTCCCAAATACTCCTCCCAAAGGGGTGAGGCAGCTCCAAAGACACTATAGGGAGAGATGAAGGAGAAAAGCAAAGGACGGGTATATTAAGATGGCATATTAAATTTCAAGTCAAGAGTGATTTGGGAAGGGTCTCTGATGGAAAGGTTCTGTTTTAAGCATAAACATAATAATCTAGTGGAGAGGTTCTTAAAAAAATTATCCTTTATGGATTGAAACTGTGAAGGTCATTGGGCATCCCAGAGATGTTCTGAACTCTATTCCCCTGAAGCCCAATGTGTAACATGAGTACTGTTTTCATAGGCGTTGCATCTATATGTGTTATTTCACTGTATTTTTTTGTTTGGTTTGTTTATTTGTTTTTGTTTTTTTTGGCTAGGCGATGGGGTTAAATGACCTACCCAGGGTCACACAGCTAGTTAGTGTCAAGTGTCTGAAGCTGGATTTGAACTCAGGTCCTCCTGACTCCCTCTATTCACTGCACCACCTAGCTGCCCCTTCAATGTCTGGGTTTTTATTTATAACCAAACTATATTAGCCATGAGTGCATAAGAGAAATGAATAAGCTCTAAAATGCTACTAGCTAGTGAATGTTTGAATTTCATTGACAGAATTCAAACCAGGAATTGTGGTCACAAAAAAGAAAATTATACTTGTGCTGAACCGCAGAGACACCAGGGAACTAACAAAATCCCCACCTAAACCAGAATTCCCAGCTGAGCATGTGGAACATACAGTTATTTGGCTTCTACGTAAAGACCTCCACTGAAGGGAGACCCCCAACCTCTCCGATCAGTCCATTTCGTCATTCCACTGTAGGAGGGCTCTAGTTATAAAGAGGTTTTTACTTTAAATTGACTCTCTTCCACTCAAAAAGTCTAAATTGACCTAAACTTTCATCAATTGCTAGATTCATATCAACAAATAATTACTTACCTGCTGGGCAAGGATGCTAGCCATTGGAGATAATCAAACACTCTTTGCCCTCAAGAAATTTATATTCTACTGGGGGCTGGTGGCAACATATAAAAAGATAAATAAATACACAAAAAGTTTACTGGGGGGGGCACAAATCATACTCACAACTACTCTTGGCTCTATCCTTTGGAGGTCAATTGTATCAAAATTAAATCTCTATGTGACAGTCCTTGAAATATCTAAAGATATCTAGGTGATGCACTGGACCTGGAGTTATAAAGACCTGAATTCAAATCTGGCCTCAAACCCTTATTAGCGGTGTGACCCCAGTCAAGTCATTTAACCTCTGTTTGCCTTGCAGGCAGCTAGGTGGCTCAGTGGATAAAGTACTGGGCCTGGAGTCAGGAAGATCTGAGTTCAAACTGGCCTCAGGTACATACTAGCTATGAGACCTTGGGTAAGTCACTAAATGTCTGTTTGATTCAGTTTCCTCAACTATAAAATGGAAGGAATAGTAGCACCTACCTCCCAGGGTTGTTGTGAGGATTAAATGAGATGATGAGTGCAAAATGCTTAGCACAGTGCCTGGCACATAGTAAGCACTATGTTGATTATTATTATTGTTGTTGTTGTCGTTATTTCCAAAACATGACTCTGTCATCTACCCTATGGGCATCTCTCCCTGTTCTGTGCTATTTGTGCAGCTCCATGCACCTCACTCACTCAGTAAAGGCCCAAATGTGGATCTCTGGGGCATTAGAACCATTCAGAAAAACATGGCATTGCAGCAAAATCACACTGGCAGTTTAATAAGAGAGTAAAAAGCATAACTAAAGCAGGTAGGCATAGTTCTTTAAGAACAATGAAACCATCACAAAAACTTCCCTATTCTGAATTAGACAAGCAAAGAAATCTTGGCCAGAGGTCCGAGTAAAGACCAAGAATTCCTGTGGCACCTGGAAATGCGTGTGCATAAACAAATATGTGTGTATGTGTGTATGTGTGTATACATATATATATGTGTGTGTGTGTGTGTGTATGCATGCAAATACACACGTAGGTACACATATATGCCATGTCTTTACATACAGATACACATATACACATGTGTGTATAACCTTAACCCAACCATATGTGTGTATAAGCATGTATACAGACATATATACATTGCATATATGTATATGCGTGTATATATAGTATATGTATATATGTACACACACACACACACACACACACACACACACACACACACACACGACTAAACTTTGTTAGAAGAACAAAGACAGAAAAACACCTAAAAATGGCCCTTCCCTGAATGTTGCCTTTCAAGATCCCCTGCAGGCCAAGGGCTACCTTTAAATGCTAAGGCAGGGCAGTGGAACTCAGTAGATAATGTCAGATTTCGTTTTTACGTGTTGACCAGTTTTTGCTGATTTCCTTTTTGCTTCTTCCTCTATTATTTCTATTTCTTTTTGTTTGTTATAATTTTTAGTTTTAATCAATTGTTGTAATTAATTTAATTGTTTAATATTTTAATTCTTTGTTATAAAGGAGAGCTCTCTAGAAGAAGAGGAGGGAAAGGATACTGGGGAAATCTAGGCAATGTAAAACTAAAAGAGCAATAAACATCTATTTTTAAATTGTTTTAAAAAGCACAATGATTCTGGAGAAACCATCTCTACAACTGTAATTTAGAATGTAAGCTCCCTGTGGGCAGGCAGGGGTTGTGTGGCTTGCTTGTGTTTGTAGCCCTTGCACTTGGCTCAGAGTAAGCACCTATGAAGACAAGCTTTACCTCTCCACCTTGACCTACTCATTTGATAGTAGCTGGAATGAAAACTGGCCAAGGCTGTGTTCAGGACATTATGGCATAGACTAAGGCCATCTTACCCCCACATTCAGGCGTGCTCTTCTTGTTTAGGATTTTCAGGATGTCTCTGGTAATCTTCTTCAGCTGATGTCTCACCTCCTCTCGCTCCTTCCCAACCCCATATAGTAGAATTGTTCGCTGGTTACATTCATGACTTGAAGATTCATCCTGTGAACGAGAGCACATGTTGGGGAAAGGCTGCATATGGATTTGGGAAACGGTTGTGTATGGGGTAGGGGTGGGCTGAAGCCACAACTTTGCATGCACTAAGGGCAGCATCTCCAGGCTGCCATTATGGAAACCTGTGGTGCTGCATTTCTCTCACCATCATGCCAGCCTCCATCTTCAACAGCTTTGTCACTCTAGTCAAAAACTATCAGATACGCTGACTTTTTGGAAACAGGAATTTAATGATGTGTGCCCAGGTGTCCTGTACAAGCTACTTTCTGATTATGGAAATCACATTTAGGCACAATGTGGTATTATCTCCACATTAAATAACAGATACTGCCCGGTACTAATTTCGTAAGATAAATAGTAATTATGAGAACTTATTTTCCTTTGTAGAGCAATAACTAATGCTGTATTCTTAAATAAATATGAACCACCTTTATAACTAACAATTCTGTCATCCAAGACAAGCACCGCCAAATGCACCCAGGACAAACAGTAAGAAAGGCACTATGGCTGCTTTCTAAGGCAAATTCATTTGTGAGGTGGGGGAGGTGTCTGGCTACCCCAGTGGTGGAGAGAGAGATTCAAGGAGACAGGGACCCCTGGACACTAAGGCTGGGGCTGGTGAGAAGCTCATCAGGGTATAACCCACCTGGGGAAGGATGCTTCCTGTTTTAATTTAATTAACTAATTTTTTTTTTTTTTTTTTTGCTAAATCAATTATTTCTATCTGCTGAAGCAACCTCTCTATTTCAACAAAGCGCCAGTGGTCCTACCCCAGTTATGCCTCAGATACTGACTGAGAACTTGGGCTGGGTCTTTTTTTTTTTTAATTTCACAAAAGGACATTTGTAAGATACTGCATAGTGTACGATAAAATGTTTTACAGTTTATAAAGGCCTTCCCTTAACACTAACACAGTCAAGCCAATAGTATTAAAAGAGTCCTGAATAAGTGAAATTACTTTTTCAGAGTCCACAGCTACCAAGCACAGGAACCTGGATTCAAACTGAGGTCCTCTGATGCTGACTCCAGCTTCAGGGCTCCCTCCACCAGAAAGACCATGATGCCTTTCTCTCTAAAATGGTGTGTGGTACTACTGAAGTAGCCCCACACTAAGATTCATGAGACCTACTTTTGAGTACATTCACATCAAGAGAATGCTAAAATTTATAAAGATAAAGTAGATTATCTAGAATTAAAAAGCCTATTCTAACACACAAACCAATCAACCCACTAATATTCCATTACATTCATGATTACAATTTATTTTTGTTGTTGTTTCTCAGTCATGTCCAGCTCTTCATGACCCCATTTGGGGTTTTCTTGGCTGAGATAGTGGAGTAGAGTTCACCATTTCTTTTTCTAGCTCATTTTTACAGTTGAGGAAACTGAGGCAAACAGGGTTAAGTGACTTGTCCAGGGTCACACAGATATTCATGAAATCATAGTTGGAAGGTTCCTCAGAGACCATCTAGTTCAACCCATATTTATGTCAGCTCTAATTTAAAGAAGAAAAAAAGTTCCTTATATAAAGTCTAAATTTCCTTCTTTTTAACCATCTACCAACTGCTTCTAGTTATGACCTCTGAGATCAAACAAAATGAGTCTACTCTTCCCACAATGGGCTTTCTCTTTGTGGAGCCTGAGCAAAGGGGGTGATAGATGATCCAGGTGTTGAAGCCTTCCATTCTCAGTGAGTACTAACATGAGATAATAGATTTCAGGGTACTTTCCCAAATGGCATCAAAACTCACAGAAAACAGATCGAAAAAAGGAGAACTACTTGAAATGGGAAAATATACTTGCTTTCTTCCTAGCACTAATGAAAACAGATAAAAGTATATTTTAATTATCTTTCTTTCCCAGGAAGAAAATGATCACATTTCCCATCACTCTTTAAGGTACTATGATAAATAATTCAAATACAAAACCAAAACACACAGATTAATCATTCACTCTATTTCACCTCCAGAAAACACAAGGAAACTTATTTTTAAATGAATTTATAGGAAACATGCTATTAAATTTTTATCATAAATCTGTTAAAAAAAAGATATCTCCAAGGAAGCATTTTTTCTGCTTTCAAATGAACTTTATTTAAATCTTTTCTACTATCTCAAACATACCTCCCAGTTAATATTTACCAAGATATAATACAATACTTGTAACATCTCTCAGAATTCCCTTGCGGTGTAATAGGTGACACTTCGCATAGAACAGACAATCTGCTGGGATAATGTCAAATTACCACAGTGTATCTCAATCGCTTTCCAGTTCAAGTGGTTACCTTACCCCTAAGTTTGATAAGTCCTAACAATTTAGAATGGACCTCTGACTCTGTTAGATGACAGTAGACTTGAGAAATGAAGGACAGGGAGGGAGGGAGAGAGGAAAGAAGAGAGACACAGAGAAACTGTTAAAGATGTTCACTAGAGAAGGTTCACTTCAAAGAACTATGCAGAAATAACAAAATTAATTAGGAGGAACAAATGATCAAGAATCTCAAGGAAAATATTGAAAAAAAGTGGGAAAGAGGAAACAACTTTTGACAACTATGAAAGATTTAAGATCAATTCAATGACTTCAGAAGTCTGGTGATGAACTTTGCTTACCACCCCCTGGCAGGCAGGTAATGGACTAGAGGTGAAAATAAAAGCAGTTTGGGGGCACAAAGAAAATACTATTAGATATATAGCGAGTGTAATTCGGCCTCAGACACATACTAGCTGTGTGACCCCTTTGGCAAGTCAACAGACCTCTCTCAGGCTGTTTCCCCATCTTTAAAATGGTGATCACATTAGTTACCTACATTCCAGAGTTGTTGTGGGGATCAAATAAGATTTAAATGCTAGCTATAATTGTGATATACATTTTTGGAAAAGGCTAATGAGTGGCTTTATTACATTCAATTATACTTATTAGCTACAAAACAGGACTTTTTCTTTGTGTGTGTGCATGTGATTTCTAAGAGGGAATGGGGGTAGTCATAGTGATGAAAAACATACAAAAAAACAACCTGAATAACCTATTTTTAAAATAGAAAAAAGAGGCTAGAGACAAAGAGAACCATGGAATTGTTGAATAATGAATCCCCTGAAGTGGTCACGTAAATCTGAATTCACCCTATTCAAAGTTGTAATTACGTAAAATATGCTAAGTGGTTCTAGCTCAATGGAAATATTCAACCCAAATTTGAATAATGACCACTTCATTATTTGCATTAATTAGGGCCTAAACTTAAAAATAAGTTGGATAAAATACAGATTCACAGTTTTAAATACATTCCTTCTGAATTCTTTATTATACAGAGAAATGCTCAGGTTTGTCATGTTTGTCAAGTTCATAATGAACAATAAAAAGAAAATTTAAAAAAATGACAAAGCAAAAAGAAATACATGTTAAAAAAAAGGGGGGGAATAAATAAATAAAAAGGGGAGGGTCTGATGGGGAAGAGCTTAGTAATAACCAAAATAGGGTGGAAATGGCTGACATAATAGGAAGAAAGCAGTGGAAGCTGTAAAAAGCATCAGGAGACCCTTACGAAGCCATCGCTGATGAACGTCTAGAGTGCAGAACCAGCTATTGACAAATGGCTGGAATAGCGGGCAATGACTAGAAGGGAATGAAGAGCATCACTTAGAGGTGATCAATGACAACAGCAACTATATACTTCAGGAGGCGGGACAGTCCTCTCCCATATATATTACCCCAATCCCTTCACAGGTATCTTGGCCACACATTTTCCTTTCCTGCAAATGTTAAAAAATAATTCCTAAAAAGGTCTTCTTTTCCTACAGTTGTATAAAATGCTTCGTTTATGGGGGGACTGTTATGGTATTATTTTGTTTACGTTAGTATTTAACAAAAATGCCTACCTTAGTGAGTGGAATGTGTCATATGGCTGATTGCTAAGATATAAAACACATCAATGCAGGATGTATAAGCCACAATTTGGAGAAGACTGACCCGCAAAAAAAATATCTTCGGAGTTAACTAGAGACCTAGAGTGAACCCAACCTTCCACCATATACCCCTTCACCACCATATTTACAATATTTTTGGCTCATTGTTATTGTTTTTAACAATTTAACACTTAGCTTTTTAATTAGAACTTTCCTCAAAATACCCACAAAGTATAGAAATTCAATAAATTTTTTATACCATCTTTTAAATTAAAGGTTATTGTATTTGAAATTCTTTCTTTACAATGGAAGAAAATACTGTGGACCAATGAGTTAAGATGTGTATCAAGAGATTATTAAGAGCAATCCTTTTGCTGGCAGGCAAGATGCCCCAGAAATACAAGACAGAGGTTTAGTGACCTTATCTAGACTTCTGATTAAAGAGATCAGAATCTCCATGATGAAATTTTTACAAGGCCCCAAAGTCCTTACTTTGGGGAAGTTTTGATTCATTCCTACCTGAGCCGCTTTTCTGGCCCTACAGTGAGTAAAGATAGATTGTATTATAGATTTTAGCACTGTCTTAAAAACAAATCATTCAATACAGATTTTTCCACTGAAACCACCAAATTATTGGCACTTGGTTAATTTCCACAGAATAAGGGAACTATAAATTCACTTCTATTTCATTCAGACTCTGGTCCTTTACTAACTACATGCAAAGCACTATGCTAGGTACTTGATATGAAAAATGAAATAAGGCACAATCTCTTTTCTCTGAGAAATTATGACCTAATATGTATATCTTGTCTACCAAGCACAAACATATAAGATATATATGTGTATATATATATATATATATACACACACACATGTATGTGTGTGTGTGTATGTGTGTTAATAACTGTGGAATAAGAAGAATGGATTAAGTATTAGTGTTGAAGAAAGGTCATCATGGCAAAGGGCTATGAAAAAATCCAAGTTGGCTGAGGACACAATCTCCTGGGAAGATTACAGATGGCTTCATTATAATAACTAACATTTATATGTAGTGATGTGAAGTGATTTATTCTCATTTCCTCCTTTGAA